TGCAAGCTTTGGGACATACTACTTCTTCCTTAACAGATCATAATGTTGCTTATTTACGTCCCCTGTCAATCATCTCGAGACATCATCCACATTTCTTTCATTTTTAATTTCCTATCTTAATTACATAGTTCCTGGCTGTGTTCTATACTCAGTTATCCCCCCTATGCCCTATCCATTTAGAACATTCTAACAATTAAACTTGGAATTATTAAAAATAAAAGCATTAAAGTCCTCTATCTTAGGTGTATTTTGCTTTCAAAACGTTTTTACAGTTTAGTTTTAGCGATCTTCATGTTTACAATTGTACAAATATTATTATTATTTTTTAAAATGCATGTGCGTGTAAAACAATACAATCTACACAAAGAAATTTTGCACAAACGTCTTGTGGAGAGGTGAAGTGTAGGCACCGGAGGCTGGAGAACGCTGGACATCAGCGAAGACCCGTCTATCCCCGGAGTCTCTCAGGAGTCAGACACATGCTCTCTACTCCTCCATGACCACCACAGCAGCTGCTACGGCCTGGTCTGGGAATGTGGAAACCTTGGGATCATCTTTTCACAGGTTTTGGATCGTTTCAGTGGCACTGCATAATCTCTGGGGGCCTCGGGATGAGTATCCCCAGGTGAATAGAGAATAAAGAGAATAATATTATATTATTCTTTTATAATACCATTATATTAATCAGTTTTTTAACTTATCATCACGGTGCAAATATTAGTTCACACCAATGAATATTTTAGGGTAAAATAAATAGTAAATAAAAAATCAAGAGAACCATAAAAATATTTTTTAAATTTGTTATTATACATTGAACTTAAAAGGATTACTATTCCATTCCTAAAGATAATCAGTAAACATACTCTTATATTAATGGATATTTTAATGAAAATGACATGTGCCTTTTTAAAAGCAGATTTAACAGAAGTTGTGAAACCCAAACAGTTCATTATGATTTTATCATCAGACTGCTCCTAATCATTACAGCAAAAAAAAAAATCACAAACTGTTTACTCTAATTTTACTTCAGAAATGTTTTATTACTGTGTTATTGCTATAACCTTCATTTTAAGAGTATTTCAATGCGTATATGAACAATTTAGCTAGTTTTTTTAAGTTTTTTAAACATTCCCTTCTACAAGGCTCTTTTCTTAATAATAAAGTAAGTTTTATTAAATATCTTAAAGATGAAAGACTCTTTGGTGCCAATAGCTTCGTGGGCAGTTTGCTGACATGGAATCTTCAGATTGAACCTCTCCAACTTCCTGTCCGTCAACTGTAATATCACAATAAAGGCAAAAAACACCAAATAAATCTTTAAAGATGAAAGACTCTTGCTTCTGGTTCAATACCGCTGCTTGCTTTGCAAGTAACTTGTATTAAAACTGGAAAAAAAAAAATTCTGAAAACTGGTGAAAATTCAATACCACACCATGCAAGTGAAGGCTTTCTTATTTATCTCTATGGGATAACACACTCATACAAAAAAACTGTGGACAGGCCAGGACTTGTTTTGGATTACAGCTTCATGAGGCAATGCTGACCATTTAAACCCGGAGAGAAGGGAAAAAGACCCCAATGTTCAATGCTCACAATGTGCCCGCTCAGCACTTGAAACACACATGCACGCACACACACACACACACACGCACACACAAAGTTACGTAAGGCTGTTGAGGATGGACAAAGGCTCAGCGGGAGACATTGTGTGCCGTCTCTTGCTCTTTCTCTGTCTTCCATCAGCACTTTTCAGATGAATAGAGCTCAGAGCGACGCCGTTTCTTTTTCTTTTTCGAAGCTCCAATAACACAAATCCAATATTCTCCTCCACTGCTCCAAGGGCTTTCGGGATAAAATGTTCACATGCGAAAGGAAAAGTGACTGCTGAAGTGAAGTCCCAGTGAGATCAAAATCCAGTTTTGTAGATGCTAGTCTCAGTATGTTAGTCTTAAGCAGATTGCGAATTACAGGGGGGTTTGGGCGGGATTGACCACCCTAATTAACGCTTGATATCCCTGAAGGACATCAAAACAAGATGTATCGGGGGGTCAGCCCTTTAATTGTAAGAATTAGCTTTAAATAAATTAAATATTAATAATAAAAAATGTATCATAAAAAAATGTACATTTGTCCCCCTCTATAACGGTTCATAACATTATGAATGCATAATCACGCCAATCAATGATAGGAAAAATATGATTCAACAGTCTGAAACTAGCAGTTCTAGAGCACCGATTGACATCTTAAATATTCACAAAACATGTTTATTGTAGGTGTTTATATCTGCATGTAGCCAAAAAAAATTAGACACATAATTTGTATAGTTTGACCGACATTAACCTCTAAAATAGTGACTAAATATCCCTCAAAACAGTAAAAATGTATACATTTTTAAAGAACGAGTTTAAAGAATGTAATGTAAATACATTCATAAATTTGACTCACTGTAGCATGTATTACTAAACTAATACCAAAAAAAGTGACCCCCCTGGTCTTCAATGTATAATTCGCACCCTGGTCTTAAGGATATCTATAAGCTGGTGTTCTCCAAAAACAGGAAGAACATTTGAATTAAGAAGATATAAATATTTAAAGTTTGCAGTTTGTCACTTCAGCCTAAAGGAGTTAACAGATTTTTTGACGTCCTCATCATATCATCTGACCAATCAGATACAAGACACTATTAATATATGCTTATACGCTTGAGCTCAACTACATTCACTGGCAGAGCTGAGAGAAACGAAATGCTGTCGTTTTTTTTTTTTTTTTAAGGTGAGGAGCTACACTGTTTTGCATGATCTTCATGTTTAAGGTATATTTACTTCACACATAGAACAAAAGTGCACACTTTGAAGCACTTCGTAGTACCTCGAATGATTTAAGCTTATTTAGTATTTAGTTAAAGTAGCTCACGTCACATTTGATACTGGATTTCTCAGTTTAGAGAGGTGTGATGATGTCAGGTGTGTGTGATGGACGCTCATTCAGCAGTGACGTCTGTTCATAACACAGAGGCTGAGTCATCCTGAAAAGCACTGCAGACACAGCAGGAGCTTCCTGTGTGTGGGTGAAGCTCCAGATCACAGTGTCTGCCTCCTGTTTCTCTCAATAATAAAAAACAATAACAAAAATAATCTTTATGAATAAATGACATATTTCTGGCATGTAATTATGTCATTTAAATAATTTTCCTGCCATTTTCTGGCTTATCGTTCTTGTTGTGTAAAATCTCTCTCATTTCATTTGAAACTAGCTTTATTATCATGACGAAAATAACAAACATGTTGACAAAGCATTTTTAATAATTACATTAAATAGAATTTATGAAAAAAAAGTAATAGTAGTGAAAAGTATACGTATAATAATACAATAATAAAAACAAATCAATGGACATTATATTTAATCAAAGTCTCTTTAAGGGGAAGTCATTTCACTCTTTAAAATGCCTCTCGGGCAGTATGCTCAGGCATTCTGTCTGAATGGGGAAACATTATATTCTCAAAACTGTTTGCCAAGCTTATGAATACATTACATATTTAGAATCACCAATAAAATTAAACAACAGCTGTCTCATTGGTTTAGTTTTGAAATGTCCGAATCAAACAAAATCCGCATTTTTCAGGTTGCTCAAGATAATGCGCATGCGCACTCGAAAGAAACAAGATCACGACACCAACCTCATTTATGGCCATGGTACACATCAACATCCTCTGGATAATGATTGTCAGATCACGCTGCTCTTCTGAAGTAATGCACAACTTGGTATTGATGGGGAATCTCCTCCAGAAATGGCAGCAACTCTTTACAAGTTTGTGGCCGTTTGAGCAGTAGCTGTCATGTGATGTGCGTTTGACAGGACAGACTGAACCTTGTGTTCGTTTCATTAATATTATAAAACCAGAAACTTTTGTTTTCAAGTGTAGATAGTTCATTTAAAAGAAGAGATTCCAAGCTTTATGTTGATGTATTTCTTAAGTCTGTGAAGCAAATATTTGCTGAGATTCAAGTGTGTTTGTTGATCACCAAACTGATGTAAAAGCACACGTATTGTTTGAGTTTTGTCCCTCGAAGAAACATAAGTCTATATCGATCAATGATTGGCTCCTGTAGTAGGCGGGGCTTCAATCACCATATCAACCACTACACTTTTCTCAATTCAAACTATAAAAGTGACAAGTCTTGTGTATTTTAGAGTCTTTGATTAAACTGTTCATATTTTATCAGGAACTCTCTTTCTGGGATGGAAAAATGTTTAATGTTTTGTTTTTTTAATAAAGTGTTGTATAAAGTATTTTCTTATTTTTAATAAATTATTAACATAAAGATTTCATTACTGTTTCTTTATTTCTTACTATGCATTTGTGTATTGTTATGTGCACCCCCTATCCTGGACGAGCCCCCATAATAGGATGATAATATATCATATTGTATCCTATTATTATTTTACACTTTATTTTGCATTGGAAAACAAATTTTCTGCTTAATTAAAAGGCTTAATTTACTTTAAAATAGTTTTTTATATGCTGTTTATGTATTTATTTTGATGTATTGGTGAAATGGGACCAGGTTTTCTTTTAATTATGCAAACTGGAGTTTGGCGTTTTCACTAGTGCTTATCAAATGCTATTGTATTCAAGAAACATCTTGATGATACTTGAGGCCAAATCGAAGATGTTTTTTCCATGCAGGCAGGCTCTGAATGCATAACTGGTTATGCTGTGTGGGCTGCACATGTCGATATTTCATAACCACCTCGCCGTGTTCTTTTAACACCCACCATTAAGATAATCTGCAAGTGTTTTTTTCTCTGTGGTCTTTTTCATCCTGAAGTCTTCAAGATTTCGGCATGTCTCACCTCACCTTCATGCAGGCTGCACAATAACACACGCTTCCACGCTTTAAATTCAGCCACGCATCAGTTGTTTTTATTTGCTTCTCCATTTCTGTGTTTGGTTTGACATTTTTTTTCGCTTTGTGTGTTTGTGTGTTTGCCATCTTAGCTTTATACCAGTGGCTAGAGGCTGATCGGCAGGGCAAGGATCCAGAGGCCACAGCAGCAGGTAAACACCATCATCATCATTCACCTCCTGCATTCAGTTCCTGCTTTTTATTTACCATCCTGCAGATTCCTTGTCCTTGATTACATCTGGCATTAAGATTCAGCTTAGATGGTCTACTCTCAGGTGGTCAGGGAGGACAGATTGACCCTGTTCCTGGTGTTGGTGGGATTTCAAAATGTATCTACTACAGTACATGTACTTTGTGTCTAAAGGCATGCTTACTACATACCATATAATGGACAAAACAGTAAAAAGTTTGTGTGGGGAAAAGAGTCAATAACATGCAACTAAATGTCAATAACTCGCCATAAAAACAAAATAAAATAGTGTGTCAGGTTTTCATACTTAGCTGTAAGATCTGATTCAATTAATTTGTTTAGTATTTATTATAATTTCATTGTGTGGTTATTTGAATTAGAGTATTTTAATATGTATTAGCTGAATGTATTTGACAGGATTTACATATTATAACATTTGAATATTCACATATATTATATTACAATTTTATCTCAAAAATTATATAGGTAAATAATCCTTCATTTTGAAATAAAGATATATAATATAAAGTATTACAGTCTAGTATTTTAGATTTATTAAATATTCATGAATAAGAATATTATTTTAATGTTTTTTGGTTAGAAGTAGAAAAAAGAAAAATCAATAATGTTTACTTTATATATATATATATATATATATATATATATATATATATATATATATATATATATATATATATATATATATATATATATATATATATATATATATATTAAAATAAGAAAGTATTAAGGTAAATAATGTTTGTAGTTTATTTTTAAATGAAGACATATTTGAAATGATTACAGAATAATATTTTATATTTGTTTTATTATCATGAAGTATTTAATTATATTTAATTTTTATGTTTATTATGGTTAGAAATTATGGTTATCTTTTCATGGTTAATGAAGTGATGTAATTAACGATCATTTAAATATTTAAAAATATATTGAATATTGTTTAGCATTTAGAAAATGTTTGTGTTCTTTGAAATACTTTTTAAATGTGTAAAAATATAGATAAAACGATTATATTTAAAGTTTCATGATTATTAGACCATATTGGGTTTTTTTATATTGTAAAATACATTTATTGAATTAATAGCTTGCCACAAGTATTAGGCTATATTGTATTGTGAAAGAAACCAAATGTAAAGAGGGTTGGTGTTTGTTTTATTTCCAAATTACCGCTAGTTCATGTGACAGAACTGACTAGATTGATAATTAAAGTCTTAATTGTCTCACCTTATCTCAGTTTTGTTGTTGTTTTTCTTTTTTTTTTTTTTTTTTTGTTAATTCAAGATGTTATTTGAATTGGAGTATTTCAATATGTTTTAGTTGAATATGTTTTACAGGATTTTCATATTGTAACATTTGAATATTTAGGTAGATCATATATTAATCTTAAAATAAAAAAGGTAAATATTATTTTGCAATTTATTTTTAAACGAAGATGTATATTAAAGGATTACAGTATAATAGTTTAGATTTATTTATTATTCATGAAATAAAATTTTATGTTGATGTTTGTTAATTATTTAAACATATTTAATATCAGTATTTAGGAAATGTTTGTGTTCTGTGCAATTAATGGATTAAGAAAATAAAATGTGTAAAAAAATACATTTAAATAGTATTGAATGTTAATAAAATTATTAAAATCAATCATTCATTATTTGAATATATGAATATTTTAATTACATTTATTGAATAGCTTTCAACAAATATACTAATGTAATGCATTATGAACGAAAACACCAAATGTAAAGGGGTCAGTGTTGTCTGTTGTCTTTCCTTCTGCTTCTTCCCTGTTTTCTTCCTATTCTCTTTTCATTCTCTGTTTGCAGACTCATCACAGTTAAATGTGGGTCATTTGCCTCTGCTTGTTATTTTCAATCAGTTCCTGTTCTCCCTCTCTCTCCTCCTGGTCTTGTTTTTCTGCTGTTGTCCTGCTGTTCCTGCATCAGTCTGTCTGTGTCTGTCTCACGTGTTTGCCTGCGGCTTCAGTAGATTTCTCCTCCGCCTGTCCCTTCCTGTTAGTTAATGCCCAAATCACCGCTAGTTCACCCCTCAGCACCGCTAACAGAGTTTATACATGACAGAACTGACTAGATTGCTAATTAAAATCTTTATTATCCCCTCTCCCTCATGTTTACCTTATCAACATGTACATTTAACATTTGTATCATCAGTTGGTTGTCATTGTTATCTTTTTTTGCTAACTGCACAAGTTGTTGCGTTTATCTTTTCAAGCTAACTGTACATTACTTACATGCAACTTTTGTAAAGCATCTGCTTCATGTTGCTGTGTCAGAATCTTTGCTTGTAAAATATAACCTTACTATAGAAGGCTTAGTTTAAGCAAATTTGAAGAACACGATCATGTTTGTTGATGAATTTAAAGGGAGTCGCTCACCGGATGCGCTGCACTGCGCTCGCGTAGCCTACGTGCGTGCGTTCCCTAAAGCAACAAGAACGCCTAACATCGCCGACGGTGTCTGTATCCCTCAAAGTTGTTTAGGATTAAATGTTTAGAGATGGTTAGACACAGTGCGTACTTACGTGTGCCTTTGTTATACCCCTTGATGCTTCTTACGTCCTTATCGCAGCAACGAAATTAGGCACCATACAGCATCATATGCTGATTCGGTCTGGTTCATACCGGTTACAGCACCAGGTTCTGGTACCCAACCCTGAAAAATGTCAGCTTGCTTGAAAGGATAAACACAACTTGCGCAGTTAGCTTCAAAATATTAACAAGAATCAACACTAGTAATTGAAACCAAAGAAAACACTACTAGTGCTGCTAGCATGAAAAAGATGTTTGCTTTTTTATGCTAGTTCTGTGTACGTTTTATGCTATCTGCTTTCTCTCTTGCATGCTTTACATCTTTTCGATTTAAACCTGTCCATTGTAACTTTAATCAGATCAAAATCCTGCATGACACACTGTCTGCTACTGTGATCTGCACTCTTATGGTGTTCATGGCACGTCTCTAATCTCCTTTCCTGCTAGTGATTTGTTTTCATGTAACACTGCGTGTGTCGGCCTGTTTGAGACACACTAAGGTGAAACAACAGTTGTTTCTCATGAAGCCAATGTGTTCATGGTGGGAGAGAGTGACGATTCTTTCATGTTGTTATCTTGTATGCTTGTGTAACAGAATTTTAATTAATCAGAATATGTTTATTTTTAGTTATAACTAGTGATAATGCAGTGCGCAAAAACATCCATGTCTGATATTTAAATATATTGATTATATCTGCAATAGGAATATAATATTAATAGAAAATATATCCTTCTTTGTTTTAGGAATTTCATATTTACATCTGTTTATCTTTTTATTTGATCGTTATTTTTACATTTATTTATTTATTACTTATAAATGATTTTGTCATGATCTACTTATTTTTGGGTCAGTGAGGTGCAAAATGACCTCTGCTGATACTAGTGAACAAACCAGATGTGTGTGTGTGTGATATGTGAGGATTGCTGTTCAGATTAGCACTATCCAATCAGAGACAGGTGTCCAATTCTAGGTCACTTTTACACGGTCAGCGCCATCAGATTAACTCTAACTCTATACCTGACCATTGTCCATGTCACAGTAGTCTTAAAGGGACAGTTCAGCCTAAAATTTTAATTTACTCCCCAATTTATTCACCATCAAGAGTTTACAAACCTTTATGAGTTTTATTAAAACAAAAGACAATATTTTGAAGAATGTTGGAAACCAGTAGCCATTGACCTCCAACAGTTTGCAACATTCTTCAAAATATCTTCCTTTACACAGTGTAGTGGCAAAACCATGAAACTTTAATCAAATGGTGTGTAATTGAGACACATGACAAGCCTCTTTTAATTTACGACTTTGTATAATAATTCAAATGCACTCAAAGCATTGCTGCTTTTGCATTTTAAAGCACATGAATAATTTAAGAGAAGTTTCCAGGCCTTTACTTTTCCCTCTGATTTTTATTCATTTCCATCTCTTTGTCCTGTTTCCTCTCTGCAGGGGAAAACTTTGATCAGAGTCCCCTAAAAAGGACCTTCAAGTCTAAAGTGTTGGCTCACTACCCGGAGAACATTGAGTGCAACCCATTTGACCAGGATGCTGTTAACATGGTGAGCAAATTCAGTGCCTTAAACTTTTTGCTGTGATTTACTCTAAATTGTTTTACTTTTTATTTTATTTTACTTTATTTTATTTAATTTTTTATTCATTGTTTTACTTTATTTTATTTTACTCTTATTTTACTTTTTTCTTTTTCTTTTTTGTAATTCTACTTTATTTTATTCTACTTTACTTTATTTGACGTTATTTTATTTTACTTTATTTTATTTAACTTTTCTTTTACTTTTACTTGTTTACTTTTTATTTTATTTTTTTACTATTACTTTATTTTATTTTACTTTTACGTTTTTTACTTTATTTTACTTTATTTTACTTTTACCTTATTTTATTTTATTTTTTATTTGTAATTTTTATTTTATTTTTTTATTCTATGACTATTTTATTTTACTTTTTTATTTTATTATATTTTACTTAATTTTCTTTTACTTATTTTTTTACTTTACTTTATTTTCTTTTACTTTTATTTCACTTTATTTGACATTACTTATTATTTAATTATTTTAGTATTTTAAATATTTTATTTTTGGTAATCTTTTACTTATTTAAAGTATATTAAATATTTATTTTTTGCTTAACTAATGTTTATTTATATTGTAATTTTTAGTTTTGTATAGTTTCCTTTTGTGTTTTGTGTTATTTAGTTTTTTTTAATGATTTATCCCATCTGAATTTTATGCGTTTCTTTCTCAACATGCTATAACTTGTCAACTAGCTCAGACTTTTACGATAAATCTTTCACATCCAGTACATCTAAACTGGTTTTATTTCTGTATTTAGTAAATAATATTGCCACACACACACACACACACACACACACACACACAGTGTCAGTGTTTCTCACATTACTCATGGAGTGTCATCATGATGTGTCTGTGTTCGCCTGCACTGCTCAGCTGAGGGCTTTGTGTTACTGTCCCACAGCCGGCAGAGGAAAACCAAAACCACTGTCCTGTCGCTCTCTGCCTGCAAGGTCATTTTTTCCATCGGCAAACACTTGCATCAATTATTCAGCTCAGCTCTCCGCTTACATCCACATGGAAAGGCTCATTGTGTGTGTGTTTGCTTTGTAGAATATAATCTGAAGGCAAACACTTATTTTTTATTTATTTATTTATTTTTACAATTTAGTAATTATTTAAATTGAGTTTCAGTTTGATATTTTGAGATTTTGGGCTTTTCATTGTGTTTATATTTTCAGTCTAATGTGGCAGACAAATCTAAAATACACTTTCAAGTATTTAGTTTCATTAATTTATATTAGTGCTTTATCCTTTTATTTCTGTAGATTCCAATTACAATACATATTTTTATCCTCAACATGATTTTTTTCTCTCTTGCTTTGAGCCATAAATCTCCACTTAGCAGCTCTTACATGCAATTAATTAATCCCACAGTGTAATTCATATCTAAATTATGACGGTTTTCAAATAAGATTTTGTTCATACAACTTCAATTTGCCTTATTATATACAGCATTTCATTGAGAGTATTTTCTGAATAATGGCTTTATTAAAATGCATTCCCAAGCTCCATATTTAAAAATAAATTGAGAAATAAATAAATAAATAAATAAATAAATAAAAGAACCTTTGATTCTAACATCAAATTAAAAGATTTTGAAGAACTGTAATTTTTGCATTTAATTTTTGCATTTAGATTTAATCTAATATTCTGCTATTTGTGCTAGAACTGCATACAAATTAAATTTTAAAACATGTAATACAAACAAAGTTTGCAGTTCTTTATGTAATCAATCGACAGTGACGATGATGATGTTAATTAATTTTTTGTACCTTGTTCACCTGCATAGTCTTTCCTTTTCCTTTCCTTACTTGTTTGGCGCCGTTATGCCATCACATCATCACAGCAAAAACACAAAATAATAAAATGGCATGACGTACATGTTGAGTCAAGGCCAGTCTCTTATCTGCCAGCCTACATACACACACACACACACACACACACATTGAGAGTGTTTAAAAGACACTTCAATCACTGAACACTGAACTCCATTTCACTTCTCGGTTCTCCAAGGCCAGGATAAAATTCCCTCAGTGATTACTTTCATTTTCAATTCCACTCATGGCTGATCTTCTTTTCACTCTTTTAGCCTTCTGTTCTCTCTCTCTCACGCCATTTCTCATTTTTATCTGTTCTTGTCTTTTTAATACCACACACATATCCATTTTTCATATAATATGTACAAGCTTTGCAAAACGTTTTAGTTTATTATTAATCGTTCAGTCAAAAGTTGATATGCTTCTCTGAAAAATTTGTATGCCTTTGAATAAATATTAGCTTCTTACAGCGACAAAAACAATAATAGTAATAACAAAAATATTACACAACAATATTATGATAATAATAATAACCAAAATAATAATCAAAATAATAATAATTCTAATAATAAAAAATAAAAAAAATAATTATTATTATTACTATTATTTTATTATGTTTGCTCCAGATAATGAAAAAAGGCTGTTCTCTCTGTTCAAATATTGTGTGCAAAGATATCCTGGAAGAAAATATTATAAAGCAAACCCATGTAAACAAAAGTATGATTTATATGATTTAATAGGGATGCGTAATATAAATAAAAATAGTTTAAGTCCAAGTTGTCCAGGGTCATGGCACTTTGTATTTTGCACTTTGCATCGTCCTGCCAGTCATAAATCTTGAATCATGTTTCTGAATGAGTCTGAAGGTTTCAGGAGCTAATGGCATGTTTTAAAATTGACCTGTCAGAATGTTACATTTTATGATCATGTGCTTGGATGTTCTGTGGCGCCAGCAGCACATTCAAACTTCATATAGTATGTACAACCCTTTTAAAAAGTGCTGTGGTGGCTACATAGCACTTGCAATCAATAAGTGAAAAGTTAACACATTACTGTTTTACTTGCATAAATAATTAAAATAATGAAGTGAAATTTTATTATTATAAAGAGATAGTAGTAATAATAATAATAATAATAATAATAATGAATAATAATTCAGAAACAACTGAATTAATACGTATTAGTTGTTTAATAAAACGGTAAAGAAACCTCTATACTATACTATACTATGCTATGCTATGCTATAATTGACTAAACTATACTATACTTCACTAGTATACTATAATATACTTGACTACTGAACTACACTATAGTTGACCGTACTATACTATACTATACTATACTATACTATACTATACTATACTATACTATACTATACTATACTATAATATACTATAATATACTATATTATACTGTAGTTGACAGCATTATACCATACTTGCCTATACTATACTGTGCTATACTACACTATACTATAGTTGACCATACTATACGATACTTGACAATACTTTACTGTGCTAGATTATACTATACTTGACTATACTTTACTATAGTTGACATTACTATTCTATACTTGACTATACTATACTGTGCTATACTACACTATACTTAACTATACTATAGTTGACAGTACTATACTATACTTGACTATACTATACTTGACTATACTATAATGTTCTATACTATACTTGACTATACTAAACTGTTCTATACTATACTTGACTATACTAAACTGTTCTATACTATACTTGACTATACTAAACTATACTATACTAGACAATACTATACTGTAATATACTTGACTATACTATACTTGACAATACTATACTGTACTATTTTATACTATACTGGACTATACTATACTTGACATTTCTATATCATACTGTGCTATACTACACTATACTTGGCTATACTAAATTGTACTTGACTGTACTATACTTGACAATACTGTACTGTACTATCTTATACTATAATATACTAAACTATACCATACAATATTTGATTGTATTATACTTGACTTTACTATACTATTCGAGACTATACTATAATATAATGTACTTGACTGTACTATACTTGACTAATATACTTAAATATACTACACTTGACTATACTATACTGTACTATACTATACTTGACTATACTGTACTGTACTATACTATGCTTGACTATACTGTATTGTACTATACTATACTATGCTTGACTATAGTATACTTGACTATTTACATAGATTTATAGATTATACTATAAAAATACTGGATTGTTTTAACTCAAAGCCATTGCGATTATATCCCAGCATTTTTACAATCTAGGATTTTAACATTCTGTTATTTAGTATAATTTTTAAATATTTTATATTTTTATGAATAAAATATATCAGTAATAATTACTGCAATTACTGAATCAGTGAGTCATTTTCTCTCTTTTTATTCTCTCTCATTTCTTTTGATGTCAGATTAAATTTTTTTTTATCTGTGTCTTTTAAATCTCATCTGATACAGTTTTGTTTGGTCAAGCAAATAGGGCTAAGTATGTAAAAAAAATTGTTGATAAAATCGTGTGTTTTCTGATAATTGCTTTCTCCTGAGCAGATTTTTATAATCTTAAATAAATTCACAATCTTTTAGAGTTTAAATTAGAGTAGTTGTTTAAATGATTTCTTTTGTAGTTGGAAATGTTGCAGAAGCGCTGTGTTGTTCTTTTTCGGTTTGAGAAAGACGGATGGTGTTTAATTGTTGTTTTATTTTTGTTTTGTATTTTTGGTAATGTTTTATTTAATTTTTATAATTGTATTATATTAATTTGAAATCTCTCTCTCTCTCTGTCTTTCAGCTCTGTATGCCTAAAGGCCTGTCATTCAGGACGCAGCGGGACAGTCTGGCTCCGCACTTCCACTCGTTCCTCATCACCCGAGAGGACGGCTCACGGACTTACGGCTTCGTCCATACCTTCTATGAGGAGGTGACGAGTCCTCAGATCTGCTCCGCCATGCAGACGCTCCATCAGATGCACCAGGCTGAACACAACACATCTGCACAGAACTGTACTTCATCCTCCTCATCATCCTCCTCCTCCTCTTCCTCCTCTAGCATGGACTCTTTATCCAGCAGTCTGGATGACGTTGACTCTCCATCCGCTCATGGAGGCAGAAGAACCTGTGAAGGCTACGACTCGATCCGCGACACTCTTTATGTGTCCAAAGCCATGTGTTTGATTGCACCGATGCCCTTCATGCACGCTTGTAAACGTTTTTTGGCTCAAATGCACCGGGCTGTGAGCTGTAGTCCTCCGCCGCCACTTCCTCTAGAGAGTTACATCTATAACGTGTTGTATGAGGTGCCGCTGCCGGCGTCTGGACGCTCGCTCAAGTTTCATGGAGTTTATGAACCAATCCTGTGTCAGCGGCCGGGAGTCGGAGAGCTGCCATTGGCTGATTTTCCACTGGCCGACGCCTTCCGGTTACTGGGGGTGGAGAATCTGGTGCAGCTGTTCACCTGTGTCCTGCTGGAAATGCAGATTCTGCTGTACTCACAGGGTGAGACTAAGAGTTTAGTTTAGTTAAATTTTTCTGCTTTTGGTTAGGTTTTCTTTTGGTTTCCTTTAGTTTTTTTGGTTTCGGTTCGGGTTTGGTTTGGTTTGGGTTTAGTTTACCTATGGTTTTGTTTGGTTTGGTTTGGTTTTAGTTTTGTTTGGTTTTCTTTTGGTTTGGTTTAGTTTGGTTTGGTTTGGCTTTCATTTGGTTTGGGTTTTTTTTTTTTTTTTGGTTTTGGTTTGGTTTTGGTTTTCTTTTGTTTTGGGTTTGGTTTAGTTTGGTTTGCTTTGATTTTCTTTTCTTTTTTTGGTTTGATTTTCTTTTTTATTTGGTTTGATTTTCTTTTGGTTTGGTTTAGTTTGGTTTGGGTTTGATTTTCTTTTTATTTGGTTTGATTTTCTTTTGGTTTGGTTTGGTTTAGTTTGGTTTGGGTTTGATTTTCTTTTGTTTTGGTTTGGGTTTGGTTTTCTTTTGGTTTGGTTTGGGCTTGGTTGAATTTTCTTTTGGTTTGGTTTGGTTTTCTTTGTTTTGATTTCCTTGTTTTTGGTTTTTATTTAGCTTTGTTGTGTTCTATTTTAGTTTTAAAATAAATGAGATTTTAAAGAACTTTTATTCAAGGTTTTAAATGTTTTTTTTGTTGTGTTTTAGCTATCAATAAATATTTTTTTATTATAGATTCATAATAAAAAAAAATTTTCACTGGCAACTTAACAATCCTGGTTTATAAATTTTCTGTTTTACTATTTTTTTTAAATTTAATTTTATGAATTGTTTATTAAATAATAAAAATTAATAATTATTTCTCTTATCAACAACAACAACAACAACAAATAGGAAAAAATAGGAGTATTTAAATAGGAGTTTTACATAAAATGACTAAATAAAACTAACTAAAAATGTATTAAAATAATCATCATAATTTTTATGTGTATTAATTTATTACTTAAATATGACCCCGGATTAATAAAGGGACTAAGCTGACAAGAAAATAATTGAATTAATATTACTTAAATATTTATATTATTATTAATAATAACTATACTACCACTGGTACTTATAACTATACAAATATGTATTCCAGTACTGCAGTATATCGTATTATTATAATGACTTTTGTGGTTTTTATATATCTGTCTAATTATTTATACCTGTTTAATTATTTATATCTGCTAAACTCCCCCTTTATCTATCTGCTGCAACATTTCATTGTCTTAAATTGTTAATATGTCTGCTTCCTCTGTAAATATTGATATGACATTTGATTGATTTAATGAAGTAATTGTTAAAGCTAATTAAAGTTTAATTGACATTTCTAATTGACAGTTGTACTATTTATATCAGTGACTGTATGCAGATCAGTTGATGTATTATTGAAGCATTTATATTTGAGTTGATGTTGGCGAATGTGGGATCTTGGATAAATGTGGAGAAGCCTGATGAATATTACATTAAGCTACTGCAGCACATATGCTTTTCAGCAAACACAAGCTGAAACAGACGCTAATGAATTCCTCTGACTCGTCTCTATATAAACTTATAATGAGATTTTGTGAGAAACATCTATTAATCATCACACTGGCCTGTTTTGGGAAGTGTGCCGTAGAGCATTACATGATCATTTACCTTTCATCTCATTTCAAAATGATCCAAATGTAAATAAAAGGACTTTATGAGTAAATAAAACAGATTTGCAAGCCAGTTTTAAGAGTTTCAACATAATTAAACAGTAAAGTTATGATAGTCTAACCTTTATAGATGTGTTGGCAGACTGTGATTAAATTATGTTAGCTAAAAAAAATAGATGATAATTATTCTTTTTAAAATTTTAACAATGAATATTTATTTTACTTATTTTTTATTTATTATTATTATTATTATTATTATTATTAATAGCATTATTATTATCATTAATCACATTATTATTATTATTACTTTTATTATTATTATTATTATTATTATTCATATTACTGTTGTTGTTGTTGTTGTTGTTGTTGTTGTTGTTGTTGTTGTTGTTGTTGTTGTTGTTGTTGTTGTTGTTGTTGTTGTTGTTATTATTATTATTACTACTACTTCTACTGTTTTACTACTACTACTGTTTTTAATTAGTTAGGTCATTTATTGTTTTTTATTATTTACTTAGATTCATGTCTTTTATTATTTTTTTGTATTATTAATATTATTATTATTAATAAATAATATTATTATTATTACTATTACAGTTTTATTATACTTTTTTTCCTTTTCATAATTTCTTTTAATATCTATATTTTTATGTAGTGTTTTTGTTTTATTGTAGATTTTTACGTCCCCTCTATTATTTATTTCTTCGTTTTTTTGAAATGCAAAATATATTTTACTATAATATATTTTATTTTATTTTATTTTGCTCTATTTTACTGTATTTTATTTTACTTTTATTTTACTTAATTTTATTTAACTTTTTATATATTTTGGTAAATAAAATTTGGTTATGTAAAATTGAAATGGAAAACTCAAACATTTTATTTTCTAGTTTATTTTATTTCATTGTATCTTATTTTTATTTTATTTATTTGTTTTTTAATTAATTATTACTTTTTTATTTCTACTTTTTCATTTAAATAAATTAAATTTTTTAATACATTTTTGTATTAAAATTTTTACTTTTTATTTTATTAAAAAAAAAAAAACTATAAATAAATTGACTTTTTTTAAATCACATGTTTATTTAGACTACCAGCGGCTCATGGTGGTTGCGGAGGGCATCACAACATTGCTCTTCCCTTTCCAGTGGCAGCACGTGTATGTCCCGATTCTCCCTGCTTCACTCCTGCACTTTCTAGACGCCCCTGTCCCATACCTCATGGGGCTTCAATCTAAAGAGGGCACTGACCGCTCCAAACTAGAGCTGCCTCAAGAGGTAAAAACACTACTCAAAACACACTCACAATCTCCGTCCCACCAATACACATCCATGAATCCGTTAGTGAGACGTTTCAATAAATCAACCTCTATGCCTTTAAAATGCACTGGAGGCCTTGCTGAAAATAGCCTGAGACTCTTCTTTTAAACTCCTTGATTCATTTTTTTTTAGCACAACACAGGAGTTCAGTCCTTCCATGTTGTCATTAGTGTGAGATATTGTGTCTTTTTGTGTTGAGTTGTATCTGAATTATTAGCAGAGGTTAATTATTCATGGTGTATCTGTCTGGTGCTGCAAGGCTTCCCACATCCTCATCCCTAAATCCCATTTTCCGTAAACCCCATATGCAGATTCTCTGCTGTGCATTTTCTTTGAAGTCGCTCTGACCCAGAAAAATAGACAACAGGAAAGAGATTGAAGGGGAAACAGGGGAAGAGGGAAGAGACTAATTTTGGAGCTACTACATGGGTTTCCAGTTTACTGCAAGACTTTTGTGTTTTGATTTGCGATGTTTGATTTTATTTGGAGAAGGAGGGTATTGCATCTTGTTAGCATATTTTATAACATTGCTAGCATTTTGTTACATAGTTTTAACATGTTTTAAAGATGTACCACAATGCAAAGACATGTTCAATGCAAAGACTAACATGTTTAACTCAAAAAATAACATCAATTAGCATGTTGCTCATCTTTTTCTACCATGTTTCACCATGTTACCATATTTTAACAATAGGTTGGCGTAATGTAGCTTGCTGTTAGCTTGTTTCTGACATGTAGTAACATAGCTAAGATGTTTTAGCAGGCTATTAACATGACTTAACATTATTATTGTGTTTCTAGCATGTTTAACACAAAATTAGCATGCATTTTTATGCTTCTAGTGTTTTTTCTGCCATGTTTTACGCTATGGTGAAGTAGCCGGTTTTTTAAAATAGGTTAGCATGACGTAGCATGCAGTTTTTAACATGTAACATATCTAAATAATTTAACATTTTATAAACATTAATTAGTATGTTACTATCCTGTTTGTAGCATGTTTGATACAAGACTATCATGAATTAGCATGTTTCTAGGATTTTTTAACATGTTTTACATTTTAGCGTGAATTAGCAGGTTATCATATTTTAACAACATGTTGAAGTATGGAGTAGCATGCTGTAAGCATGTTTATAACAAGTTGTAACATGGCTAGGAACATTTTTTAACATTAATAAGCATGTTACTATCATGTTTATAGCATGTTTGGCACAAGTCTTTTATAATTTAGCCTGCTGTAAGTCTGAATCTAGCATATTTAACATTGTTATAATCAACTGGCTCAGTTAGCAAGTTAACATGATTTAGCATTAATTTACATGATCATATATTAGCATGTCTTGCATGTTTCTAGCATGTTTTTCATGTTCTAGATAGATTAGAAGTGTATGATATAGAATGTGTAGACTACAGTTGATTCAGATTATGGTTTCTGTTAACATGTTGCTAAGATAACAGCGTAATATTCCAAAATATTATTAAAATGCAAAATCCACAACACCACTCTTGGGTAAAATAACAAATGCATCGTCCACCATCTTGAAGTCTTTCTGCTGACCTTGTCGCAGTGAATTCTGGAATTGCCATTTCCATAAAGTTGTCTCTCGAGGCTGGATTCTGCTAAAATGCTGCTCTTTTCACAATCAGTTCTTTGTCCTTCCTTCGAAATCACTTGAGGTTTTCTGAGATGTCCTTGTGTAACTGCACTCTGAGGATGGGTAGCAGTGACATTCAGTTAAATTATTATGCTCCAGCTCCTGTCTGTTGTTTTCGTCAGTAACTGGATTCCTCCGAATGTGAACGTTGGTATTAAATGTGCAGCATTTATACAGCACAATCAAGTCTAGATGTCCATCAACAGCTCACGTTTACATTTATTTATAAGCAGAAGTGTCAACTGTGCGATTTAATTCACGTACACCCATATTAGATTTTGTGTGTACACACATTTAGGTCTTATGAAGTAAAACAGTGCCCAAGAGGCTGAACATTATCATATCATGTTGTTACCAACAAGTTGTATGCTTTTTGAATGTTCATGACATTAGGGTGAATTAGCTGGTTGGTATATTACATTGGTAACAAGTTTTTTTTCCACATTTTGATTATATTTTATCACATTGCTAACATGATTGTAACATAAAAACATAGCTATAATAACGTTTTAGCATGAATCAACATGCTATCAACATGTTTTCTACAGTTTTTCAGAAAGCTAGCATGAATTGATGTGCTCGTGGCCTGATTTAACATATTAGTAGGATGTATCAGTAGGTTGTTAACATATTGTAGTATTATTCTAACAGAACATTGGATGCTTTGAGCATGTCTTTAACATTTTGGGACGCACGGCTGTTTTAATATGTTGTTAGCAGATATTAGCATTTTTTGCTAGCACAGAAGCCTTCACACAATGCAGGTCAACTGCTTCCCACAAAATAAAAAACTTAATTACCTGCTAAATAATACCCGAAAGGTATTACTGTACATGAGGTCTTATGAAGCTAAATGATCAATCTGAAAGCTAATATAGGGTATATGCCGAAGCATGCTAATATGACTTCTAATTTGCCATTAACCTGGGTTAAGCGCTTCCGGCGAACTGAATGCCAATGCAAAATCGGTGCGTTTAGGGTCTGTTTTCTTTAAAAATCAGCGATCTCTACTAGCTGAGTGATATCCGATTTAAAGTGGGTCTCAGATTGTACAAGAAGCACTGCATTAAATTACATGTTCCCCCGCCATGTCTTTATAATATGAGCATTTGTTTTACCCCAGTATATTCAATGGAGCTTCTGCGCTAGCCTGCCGATTCTGACGGGTGCATGCGAGTAAACTGCTTTTTGTCTCGTTTTTCGCTTAAGCAACTAAATAAATGCCAAAGTTTATTTAACTGAATGTATTTTAATGACATTACAACATCGAAACTGCAAAAGGAACCGTATAAAACGGAAAAAAGTTCACAATAACAGCTCACCGGAAGTTTATCAGTATAGGAAAAACACTAGCTCGGCATATACCCTATTAGTATAGCTTTTAGCATGTTGTAACATGCTATTAGAAAAATTAGTAGGTTGTGTACATGTTTTAGCATTATGCTGACAAAAAATTGGATGAGAGCATGTCTCTAACATTTTGGGACACACGGCTGTTTTAACATGTTGTTAGCATGAGTAGGCATTGCTTCATTGGCATTGAATTAGATTTTACCCACATAAAATCTTAATTAGCAGCTACTGTAACTAATACCTTATGAAGTTAAATGATCAATCTGAAAACTAATATTGCGGTGCCTTTAGTATGTTTTACAGGTTATTAGGATACATTAGTAGGTTGTTTACATGTTTTAGATGGTGTGAGCATGTACCTAACATTTTGGGACACACCGCTGTTTTAACATGTTGTTAGCATGAATTAGCATTGAATCAGATTTTACTCGGATAAATTCCTAATTACCAGCTAAGTAATACCCAAAAGGTATGATGTCTTATGAAGTTAAATGATCTATCTGGAACTGCTATTGTTGTAAATAATGTTCATAATGTCAGGTTAAAATAATGTCTTTCTTGCATGTACTGGTAATTTTGCTTCAAGACCTCAAATTATGAGAACAGGTAATAATTTAGTTTTTTTTTCTTTGACTCATAGTATTTAAATCCTGAATGGCCGGAGTGTGAGTAAAATAACAGTACATTTTCACATTTGTGTGAGCCATCCTTTCAAATGCAAGAAAAAAGTATAGTATTCTTATTTAGCCATGTCAGACACACACACTGGCCTGAATGCTTCTCTCTGACAGGCTGTCAGCGTTGTGTCCTGACAGAACGGACGTCTCTGCTTGACTGATTTATTTTTACAGCAACAAGGTCAAGCGCGCGCACACTCACTCGAGGACATTTCGACTGCATGAGCTGCACTGCATGTGACTAAAATACTGCGAGATTTCTAATGATCCGCTGGATTGATTTAACCCAATTCCAGAGACTGGCTTTAGTTATTAGGTCAGTACAGCTGGTATTGCAGCTTTGGGTCACTGTGTGTTTCAATACTGTTATTTCCAAGCAGACATTTGTATTTTGTTTTGGATGTGTGCTCTGGTTTTCACAGATGAAGACAGGGATTTAAATATAATCTTTGCATTAATCTACTTAGGGACATTTATTTGATCTTATCATACACAGACAACAATCGGTTTTGCATACAGCACTTTCATATATAGTGCAATTAGTCAAATATCCTCAAAATAAATAAATAAAAACATCCTAAAATATAGCTTAAATGTTAACTTGCAGGTCACCTTTCTCTCCTCCAGGCAAACCTGTGTTTCGTAGACATCGACAACCACTGCATCGAGCTTCCGGAAGACTTCCCTCAGTTTCCCAACAGGAGTGAGTTCATCCAGGAGCTGAGCGAGGTGCTGCTCAGTTTTGGCCAGTCTCCCGAAGGGGGTAGCAGCTCTCCTGAACCGGCCGTGATGAGCTTGCAGACCTCTGTGCTGGAGAAGGAGCTCAAGAGCACTTCGTTGAGAGAGTTGGTGGACGATAAGACGAACGGCAACCTCGGTGGAGAAGCGCTGGATGTGCTGGAGCTCCTGCAGGGCAACCCGACGCTGGAGCGCCTGCAGGCTTTGGCCAAGAGGACTGGGGTGAAAGTGGCCCGTCTGGAGGCGCTGGCAGCGGGACAGAAGGGGGATGAAGGTGTTGGAGGAAGGTCTCCTGTTGAGGAAGAGGAGCTGAGGAATGCTAAACTGAACGTTCAGCTGAGGGAGGTGTTCGCCGCACGCTTCGCAACGATGTTTGCAGACTACGAGTCGTTTGTGATTCAGAACTCGCCAGATTTGGAGTCTTGGCTGACCAACAGAGAGCAAATGCACAACTTTGACAAGGTAACAAGGTTGTTATGCACTTTTTATACCTGGTGCAAGATGTGTTTGTGTCAGTGTTTTTATTATTATTATTTATAATGTGAGCATTATAAACTACCTTCATACACTCTGAAGTTCCCCACTGGTACAAATAAAGTGATTTGAATTTAGTTGAATTATATTGCAGAAAAAACACACATTTCAAATTAAAATGTTGTCTGCGGGGTCTTAAAATGTCTTAAATAATAATAAAAAAACATTTTAGGCCTTAAAAAGTCTTAAATTCACAGAAATATTGTGTTGTAGGCTTTAAATCATTTTAAACAGGTCATAATTTTAAACATTATCCAAGTAATGACCCAATTAGGCTTAAACCCATCCAATCACCAACAAACTATCTAAGTAATTTATATATACATGCAATATAACAGCAACTTGTATATCCCTTTACATAATCTTCCATTTACACAAAAACTATTTACAGACGAAAGTGTGAGTGGACATAATATTTATTAATAGGCATGAAAGGTTGAACGCTTATCATAATAAATATACATTTAACAACGTTAAACTTGTCAAAAGACAACATTTTTAGAACATTTTCAAAAACTGACAACTCGTTAAAATAAGAAATGTTTTGTATTTACTGTGTTTAATTATTCCAGCAAATTTTGATTTCTTTACTCTTCTAAAGTTAAGATATTAGTATTATTAAAGTCTTTAAAAAGTTGTTTAATCTTGCAACAAAGTCACGCTACTGGGACCAATAATGAATCTAAACATGAAAACATGGCAGCTTTTTAATTTTCACCATTTGTCTTTTTATGTTTTTAAATGACAGAAATTTTACCATCTTAGATTAGGACGAAATGTGATCAGTAGTTTACAAAAAAACAAAGTATTTTACTCAAGCATACATGTATAAATGTATATAAAATGTAAGTTCAGAGAAACAGAGAATTTCTCAATGACCTCTTAAAGTTTTCTATAGAATGTCATATTAAGACTATCCCAATTTCAACTCCTGCTGACTTTAAAGATGCACAAAAAAATCAGATTTTCTATATTTTGTCACTTTTTATTGCTCTTTTACCAAGGTTTTCTTCAAAAATGTAATGCTACATTCATTTTCTCCAATCTGTTTCATTCCCAGGCCTCGTTTCTTTCGGACCAGCCGGAGCCATACCTGCCCTTTCTGTCTCATTTCATCGAAACCCAAATGTTTGCCACCTTCATCGACAACAAGATCATGTCTCAGTGGGAGGAAAAAGAGCCTCTCCTTCGGGTCTTTGATGGACGCATTGAGAAAGCCAGACTCTACAATGTCCGTGCACCCAGTTTACGCTCATCTGTTTACCAGAAATGCACTTTCCTCAAAGAATCAGGTAAGCAACAGTCAGAAGAGTGCTCTGAAAATTTTTGGTTTCACATGGACAGTGGGATTAACGATTAATGCTCGTGTCTGAAACTGGCTCTCATCACTATGTTATGACGTCAGCTCACATATCACTGTACACTCCATATTAACCAGCCGCTCCTGCCACATTTTTCCTGGCTAGATATAAAGATTGATCATAAAATACAGTGATAATCTCAATAATAATCTTTTCCTTCATTTTTGCGTACAACTATTCTCTGGTATTCCACGAATGAGATTGGATAGCATCTGCACTACTAGTATACTTCGATAAAGCAATCTGATTGGCGTAATTCACAATTCACTTTAGTAATACTTGACGCCACTCCATTTAAAGTTAATGAGAAGCATGTGAATGAAGCATTAAAGTTAAAATATGTGTTTGATTGAGTGTTATATAGTTTAATGTGTTTTCTACTTTGAAACACTGCTCAACATGGTCTCTCTGGTCAAATAATGACTCTTTGGCCCAAAAGTATCAGGTCAGGAAGATGGAACAAAAAAAAAAAAAAAATGGTTCAGAAATTGTTTCATTTTTTTCAATGATCAAAATTTATTTGTTTATACTTTTCTGATTTTGCATTCCTTTTTTCTAAGGATACGTATTTGAAATATATATTGATGGCTTGTTATGAATTTTTAACATAGGGAGAGTTTTTTATGATCTAATGATCTGTTTATTTTTTAAATTTTGAATATCAGATGTTAGTTGAATATACACTACGGTTTTAAGTCTCTACGTTTTTGGAAAAGTCTCTTCTGTTTAATGAAACGCAAAATGCGTGATGAAATGAGTAACATTACATTATTTTTGGCATGTTCAAAAGGTTAACTTGTTAACAAGAACGTTTGCATAAAATCATTTCTGAAAAAAAAAATAAAACTACAACTAAATAATATTAATCATAATAATAGAAACAAAATCTGCACTGTAAAACCAAAATGTTAGTAATTCAAACCGTTTAAGGAAACCAATTGCAGCAAACCATTTTAGTTCAAAAACTAATCCTAATGATTACTGTGAACTTAATCCATTTGAGCAAACGAAGCAATTTGAGCACAGTAAAACCCAAAGTTAAGGCAACTTCAACCGTTTGAGGAAACCGATTGCAACAAACAATTTCAGTTAAAAAACTAATCTGGATGTGTACTGTGAACTTACTCCACTTATGTTGATGTAATGAGGTATTTAATTAACTCATTACCTTCAACACTGAGTTCAAATCTCACTTCAAATGAGTAGAATTAAATTTCAGTCAATTTTGAGTTAACTACACTCATTTCATTTGATAAAGTTGACAGTTGGGTTTAACAGTGTAATAATCTAATAAACATAATAATTAAAACATCTAATAAAACAATATTGTCTTGAAACTTTCATTTTTATCTAATACGATGTTCACAAAAACTAACCGAAATCCTCTGTAAGATTAAAAATGTCTTTAAGTTTAGTACTTCTGTTAAATGTGAACAAAATGATCAACAGTGAAACATTTAAACCAATGTAAGCTATATATTGCGTAAGACAAATTTGTGTTGCCATTTCACCTTGATTTATATACATTTTTTCGATTATTTAATGTTCTGTGGTTTTTATTGTGTTCGGTGGTGTTTGAGTCTCTATAAACAGAACTCAATTTGTTCTCCTGCATTGGAAATTTCTCCTCATTTTATGCCTTGGTGAGTTTTGCGCAATCACATCTCCAGCACAGCGCTTTCATCATTCTTCTCCTGGACCGGTGATTATTTCCCCAGCCGTCGCTCTGTCGCTGCAAATTGTGCATTTCATTTTAATGGAGCCCGCAGAAAATAAAACTCTCCTGCTTCTGTGCGGAGACGATGATGATGATGGAGAGTGACAGTTCAAGAGGAAACCAACGAGGAGAGAAGCTGGAGAGTCTTATGAATGCGGCGCTGTCAAATGTTGAAAAGAAAAGAGCGGCCGACTGCTGCTGCTGCGCCGTGGCATCTTGGGAAGCCTGCATTGTTAAGTGAGCGTCTGCTTGCTAAGCGCTCAGTGTTATTGTTAGGTCAATAACCTCCTGTCGCACCGAAGGTCGCTATTGAGAGATGGATGATGCTGTTCTGGCTCAAAATGTGCTTCTGAAATGGCACAATGCCCACAGATGCCATGCGGAGGATTACTAACATATTCAGTAAATGAGAAAAGGCTTTGTGAAAGTGGCAGTGTTATGTAGAATTTCTTAACTGCTTAGCATTTTTAACATTCAAAAGTATGTTACCATTAGGCTTACTTTCCTTACTACTACTACAAAAATAATGGTAAATTTTTTTTTAAAAAAGGTAATGATTCGCACTTAAGTAATTGCTTCGTACTGTTTTTATTTTTACATTCTTCGTGTGATGTAAAAACACAAACGTTTTGGCACAATGCCTTCCTCAGTGTGCACACAATACAAAGCAATTACTTGATGAATCCGAATCATTACCTTTTTAAACAATAATATTGATGAGATTAATGCACCAAAAAAGTTTCTTTAGAAACCGCAAATGTGCAGGGCAAACTTCATTACTCTAAATACTTTTTTTTAAAAGTAACAATTCACACCATTTACTATTATTGTATTATTAGCTGCCTATAATTAAAATATTAACTGTTCATTTGCTCTTATGATCTTATTTTACATCCTTAACTCACCCAATACCTAAACCCAACTACTAATTTAATAACTATTAATCGGCAGCAAATTAGAAGTTTATTAAGCTAAAATTCTTTACTCGCAGTAAAAAATGCTGGGTTCACATAATCGATTCGTGTTGGTGCAACATAAAGAAATTAAGTTAACTTGTTATTCTCGACAGATTTAAGTGGATTGAAGATGAAACAATTTAATTGAAAAAAAAATTCAAGAATTGTGTTGTGTAAGCTCATTTTAATAAGTAGTTTAAACAAACAGCAAAGGACATTTTGTGAGTGTGGTTTGTTAAAAGCGAAGAAATTATTACTTAAAATAAAGTGTGACCAACAACAATAATAATAATAGCATACTTTTAAAAATAAATCTATTATTATTTTAGTCGTAGTAGTCATCTTAAAAATAACAATCATAAAAACTAAAATGATGATAATAATAATAATACTATTAATAAAACAGTGTTATTGTTTGTTGCTAATATATTTTTAATAATACAAATTATAATTAAATAATAGGAAAAGGAAGTTTATTTATATAGTACATTTCATACACAATGGTAATTCAAAGGGCTCTACATAAACGGGAATAAAAGAAACAAGAATATATAAAAGATTCAAAGAATTTAAAATGATTAAACAAATCAAAACAGATTAAAATGGGTAAAAACTTGTTTTAAAGGAATGAAAAAGAGTCATAATAGTGCGACCTGTCAGACGTAGTACAATGCTCATTCAGTAAACGCAGAGCTAAACAGATGTGTTTTCAGTCTTGGTTTGAATGTACCTAATGTTGAGCACATCTGATCATTTCTGGAAGCAGATTCAAGCAGAGCGGGGCGCAGTGACTGAAAGCGGATTCACCCTGCTTTAAATAAACTCATGGAATTTCTAATTTACTTGAACCTAATGATCTGAGGGATCTATTAGGCTTGTAATACAATTGATAAATATTATAAATTTAAATAATCCTTAAAAATGATAACAATAATATTAAGTATTAATATAGAGTTTTTTTGTTATAATTAAAAAAAACTTTAACAGTGCATTGTATTATAAATAATGCAATTTATGCTTATTTTTATAATCTTTGGTTTATGGTTTATGTATTTTTTTCTAAGCATATTTGTGAATAAATTCCTCTGCTTGGTTGCTTGGTTTGTTTATATCAAAGAGTCTAAAGTAGCATGTGTCTTCAAACCAATAAAAAGAAATAAAAACATTAAAAATTCTCACCTGAGCTTTGTTTTCTGGTCTCCAGCCCAGGCTATTGAGCAGCGGCTGAGAAAGATCGACCACACGGCCATCCATCCTCACCTGCTGGATATGAAGATTGGCCAGGGAAAATACCAGCAGGGCTTTTTCCCCAAACTGCAGGCAGATGTGTTAGCCTCTGGGCCCACCAGCAACAAGTGAGTCCTCTTTATTACACAAGACACTTTCAAGAGACATTGACCATACAGTGGTAAATTTAACACTTCAGCGTCAATACTAAACAAGCTTTTGCATTTTATTTTGGGTCACATGCAACATTTAGTAATAGTTTTTTTTTCTTTTGTTTTAATAATTTTTTGATTTTACATAAGTATTTAACACGTAAAGAATGGAACAAACAAGTCACCAGAGACATATACAGCGTCTTGCTTTATTCTTATAAGTAATTATGTATTATTTTCTGATATTACACTTTTGTAAAGAGTGCAGTGAAGCAAGTCTATGAAGTCACAATTCTGATATGCTAATGTGCGATTAGTTTCTGACATGCTCTGTAAGTTAAAGTCTAATAATAACAGACTATGGCTTAATCTGACCAATGAGAGCAGAGTAGGCTCTAGGAAACCAGGGAGTAAAAAGAGAAGATCTTGAATGAATCATTTCAGACATTTTGAATTATAAAGCTGAATATTCAATGAATATTATCAAAATTAAAGAGTTTTTGATTTGTAGATGCATGTAAACCTGTTATACTAAATGAGTAACCTTTAAATGTATGTGCGATGACATTTAAATCCTCTTTTTTTATTAGGTGGTCAAATCGCACATGTTCGACTCAGCGCAGAGTGGAACGACACAGGCAGCAGAATGAACATCTGGTGCTGGACAATGAACTCAAAGAGGTGAGAAGGCGGCGTTTCTTTTTCTTCATCTCATCTTCTTCTTTCTTTTCATCCTGTTCTGTGTGCAGCCTTTGATTTGCTCCCAGCTTGAGTCTTTTTACTTACTTTTGCTCTTTTTGACTAGTGCTTTCACTGAGACTCATTTGTCAGGCAGTGGATAAAATTGATGTTGATTAACAGAGTTCATATGGAAATTATTCTGCCATCCATTACTGACCTTCAATATTAATACAAACCCCTAAGTTAACTTTCTTCTGTGGACCTTAAAGCTCTATTTTTGCCTGTGCAACAAATTGAAAATGCCGAAGAAAACTATTTTATTTGGCTCCAAATCTTTTCTACAAACATTGAATTCTTTTAAACTGGAGCATCAAATTGAATGAACTACAGAAAAAATTATAATATAGTTTTCTGCTGGATCCCAGGAATTGCTGGACTATTTGAAAATGAACAAGCCGACAAAGCTGACAAAAACAGTCCAAACAGGAAAGATAAAGGTGTACAAAATCTCACCTTCGCATTTAAAGCTACTTATAAAAGGCTACATTCTTAACAAATAGCAATGGGATCAGTGCTCAGAAAATAATTGTTTTGAATTCATAGGAAAAAAATCCTAACTTAAGACATGATGAGATTGTTTATAGAAGATGTCGTATTGGACACAAGAGACTCAAAACATTTACTCAAAGGGAAAAGAGCCTCCAAAATGTCAATATTGCAACAGAGATCAAACAGAGATCATATACTTGTGGAATGCCCTATTTTTAATGTTATCAAACAACGTTGTTTCTCTGGAGAGACTTTAAATGAAATATTTTTAAATGTAAATGTAAAACTGTTTTAGATTATTATCATTATTATTATTATTATTATTATTATTATTATTTATGTATCTTATCTTGTGTATTATTTATTGAATGTTAGAATATTTTTATAATTATAAAAAAAGTGGTGTTTTTAAACTGGATCTGTTTTTTTTTTTTTTTTGCCATGACATAGCTAGGAGAAGCTGATACGGCAATAAACTCAAAATTCTCTCTCTTTCTGAGGAGCTTAAATGGAGAACCTGTGACAGTCAATATTTTATATGCCATTGAAATGAATAGGAATCTTGTTATAGTTAATTTTAAATAAAAACTATTTTAAGAAATATTAGTGATTAAAATAAAGTGGAAATAGTAAAAAAAAAATATTGGCTGACTAGTGAAATTTCATAAATGTAAATACTAGAAATGCTTGAAATTTGAATTATGACCAAATTTTGTGTGTCTAGTTATAGTATTATATTTTATTATATTAATTTACATTATATTATATTATATTATATTATATTATATTATATTATATTATATTAAATTATATTATATTATATTATATTATATTATATTATATTATATTATATTATATTATATTATATTATATTATATTATATTATATTATATTATAGTTTTGTATCAAAAATAACATAACAAATTGGACCAAAGCAATATTTTACACCAAACTTGTGTATATGTGTATTATTCTCCATAACATTGTTCTTCATAATCATTCAGCTCTTTTCACATCATTCAGTCTGACTCACAGCAGTAGTCTTTAGGCCTATAACTGATTTACAAGTCAAATTTCATGTAAATGTCTCCTGATGAATCATACTCTGTGCAAAGCAATCTGCCTGTTTTCATTTCTTCATTTGTCTCCATTTTCTTTAACTTCTTGCTTGTCTTATCTTGTCTGACTGCCTGGCGTTCATTAGCATGCTGCATTTTTCTTTTCTATTGTTTCTTCACCCTGTCTGTGTGTGTGTTTTTCGTTGGGATGCTGTGGGGTGTGGGTCGTACCACCTCGCAACAGGTGGAGGGGTGTTTGCTCCTGCAGAACTCTATGGCTTTCTGGGAGTGGGATAAGGCGCCACCCCCGCCTGTTAAACCACCTAAAAAGTCCTTCTCGGCCTGCTGTCTGGTATGTGGAGGCCTGCCGTTTTGTATGACCGACTTCAAACATTCCTAACACGCCCTTAACAAACTCCTCCCCAGCGTCCAGATTGCTGAAACCCAGTGACCTCTGAACTCAAAACCTGCCCTGGATTCTCCCCCCACATGCTCTTATAAAGTTTCAGTAGGGAGCGCTTACCAGCCTAGTCACTCCACAATTACAAATCCCACACGACCAAAAAGCAAAAATAAATCCTCCGCTTCACTTTCAACCCCTTGTTGTCCCCCAAGGTAGCTTGTTAAAGGGATAGTTCACCCCCAAAAATGGTAATTCAGTACTTGTTTGAATTATTGTAATCATTTACACATAAAAAAAAAGTTATTTTGAAGAATGCTTATAACCAAACAGTTTTGGTTCCCATTGTTCTGCACTGAATGGAAACAGAGGATGTTTGGTTTTATTTTGTTTCATTTTGAGTGTAACTTTAATACAAAGCAAATATTTTTAAAATAGTGAGCGCTTCCCACCCTAGCCACTCAAGAACCCCTCCACAAGACTCATTCAAATAAATCCTTCCATAAGACACATTCAAATAAGACACATCCTCTATTTATTATCAACTCTTGTACCTCAATTTAGCTTGTTGAAGGAGTAGTGCACCTAAAAATGGATGTTTTGTCATATTTCAATACTTCTATGGCTTTATTTCTTCTTCAGAACATAAAAATTCTATATTGTAGAATGTAATCAACCAAAAAGTTTTGTTTTCCTGTTGATTTCTATTTATATGGATGGGAAGAGACAATGAAATTCATTCATTTTGGGTGAATTATCTCTTTAATTCAAAGCAAATACTTTTAAACATGTGAGCACCTACCAGCCTAGTCCCTCAGCAATCACAAATCCCACATGACCCTTAAAACAAAATAAATCCTCTGCTTTAGCCATCCCTTTTTATGGCACTGACTTTTTAGTCACGGATCGGACCATTTTCGAATCAGCCAAAATCGGGAGGAGACAAATCGGCACCTTAAAATTATAAGGTGTTTTATCTGGCATTTTTGTCAAGATTGAGTTATTGACATATTCTTATTAAATGACAACTTATTTACATTATGGGATGTTTTTTATAAGTTGTTTACATTTCAAGACTTTTTATTTTAAAACAAATGTTACAGACAACAGTTTGAAGCTCAATATCTCAAAATCATTCAGAATGCAGATAAATTATAATTATAATATTATGATTATAATTCTAAGGTGACAAAATGTAATTTGCTTTCCATTTATTACTTTTAAGCCCTTGTTGTCCTCCTAAGTATCTTGTTAAAGCGATGGTCCAGCCCAAAAAATGGAAATTATATAATCATTCAATACAAAAAAGGTTTTTTTTAAGACTGCTGATAACCAACTTTGGTTTCTATTGACTCCCAATGAATGGAAACAGGGGATGTTTAGTTTCATTTTGAGTGTAACTTTAATGCAAAGCAAATATTTTAAAAGTAGCTAATGCTTACCAGCAGTCACTTAACAATCACAAGCCCCACAAGACTTCACATCCAAATAAATCCTCTATTATTCTTAACCCTCAATTTAAAGGGATAGTGCACCCAAAAATGCAGGTTCTGTCATCTTGCAATACTTGTATATCTTTATTTCTCTTTCAGAACAATCCATATTGTATTCATGCATATTGTAGAATGTAACCAACCCAAAAATTTTGCTCCTGTTGATTTCTAATTGTAGGGACCGAAAAACATAGTCAAATTCATTTATTTTGGGTGAATTGCCCCTTTAATTCGAAGCAAATACTTCAGAACTAGTGAGCACCTACCAGCCTAGTCACTCAGAAATCCCAAGTCGCACAAGACCCTTAAAACAATATGAATCCTCTGCTTTAGCAATCCTTTTTTTGCACTCCCAAGTTATCTTGTTAAAAGGATAGTCCACCATGGAAAATTCTGTCATTATTCCATAGGTGTTTGACTTTATTTCTGTTTCGAAGAGTTTTGGTTACAAAGTAGTTTTGGTTCCCATTGACGTTCATTGTTTGGACAGAGAGTGCAATAAAAGTCAATGGGAATGAAAGATGTTTGGCTTAATTTCATTTAATTTTGAGTCAACTATCTCTTTAATACAAAGCAAATATTTTAAACTTAGTGACAGCAATCACACACACAAAAAAAATAAATCATCTGCTTATTTTGCTCTGAATTATCCCTTTTAAATGGATAGTCATCCCAAAAGGTATGTTCTGTTATCATTCCATAACTGTGTGACTGTATTACTTCTTTAAGATGGAAAAAGTTTAGGTTCCCATTGACTTCCATTGTATGGACAGAAAACACAATGCCAGTCAATGGTGAACTATCCTGTTAAAATAAAGCAATTTTTCCACCAGTTACTTGATTCAAACTTAGGTGTATTTCAGTCTTTCTAAATGTGTTTGGTCTCTCACATATTTGTGTGTTGATCTTTCTGTTTAGAAGTACATGCAGGAGGCTCGTAACCTGGGGAAGAACCTGCGACAACCCAAATTATCAGACTTGTCCCCTGCCGTCATCGCACAGACCAACTGGAAGTTTGTGGAGGGTTTACTGAAGGAATGCAAGATGAAGGTGAAGATGACTTTGATATGCTTATATACTTACTTGTATACTATGTTTATATACTATATATAATTATATAGCTTATAAGTGAATTTGTGTGTTTTCTTCAAGCATATTTACCTGGTGTGATGACATTTTGCAATGAAAAAAAAAAATTTTTGTTTTCAGAATTTTTTACTAATTTAAATGGTAAAGTCCTACCTTTTTCCTCAGCCTTACTATTGTTTTTTTAAGTAGAATTTTCTTATATATATTCTTAGATATTGATTCTTTATACAGTAGTTTTTATTGTTCTGTTTAAATAATATTTACGTCCTTAAATAGTTATTCCTCTGTTCTAAACAATCATCAGTCTGACTGTGGAGTGTCTTACGGGAGACGGTTGTAAGCTAATAAGTAAAATCACTACCATGTATTCATTCAAAAGCTTGAAAGTACATACAAATGTAAATCTGCCTCATCAGTCTCTGTGTAATGCTTTATTTATGGCCTTATCCAGTGAACCACTTCACAAGCCATAGAAATCCATTGTTCAATAAAAGTGGTATCAGAATTCAGGAATCTAATTGCTCGTCTGATCCTCATGTCTGATGAATTAAGATTGAAATGTCTGGCATGTTGTTTTTAATGGGTGTTTCAGACCAAGCGCATGTTGGTGGAGAAAATGGGGAGAGAAGCTGTCGAACTGGGTCACGGAGAGGCAAACATCACTGGTCTGGAAGAAAACACACTCATAGCCAGTCTGTGTGACCTGCTGGAGAGAATATGGAGCCACGGGCTTCAGGTTAAACAGGTGAGACACAAACAAATGGAAATGCAATTTAGATTATAACACATGCAACGCAATCCTGAAAGTCGTTGTGTGCTTTCATCCTTGTTCACAGGGAAAGTCTGCACTTTGGTCTCATTTATTGCATTACCAGGCGAGAGAAGAGAAAAACGAACAGCAGTTGGAGTCTCCGGGTAAAAGATTTATAATTTCCACAAATTTCTACCAAAACATTTTCTCACACTGAATGCGCTTTTCTGTTCTGAGAACGTGAGGCGCACTACACTGCCTTTTGTGTGTTGACAACTGTGAGTTTTATTTCGTAACCCTAACCGTCATCTCTATGGACCCTTTTCACAAGACTGTTATGATGTGTTTAACTTTCGTCATGATCTTAAATTTTTGAAAGGTTTAGTTTTGAAATTAGTTTCTTTTGAATTGTGTGTTTATTTATATGTATTCATTTATGTATTATATCATCTTTGCATGAAATTACCAAAAAAACTAATTACCACTTTTGCAAGTTGTTTAAAATGCAGCGTCTATGGACAGGACAGTAAATTTGACGTTGTTCTCTCTTCTTTCACACAATTTTTTTCCTTTTTTTGAAAGTCTTGATAACACCATCATGGAGTTTTTCTTTTATTATTACAGAAAATTGGATTGTAAAAAAATTTTTTTTGTTGTATTGTGTGATTGGACAATGAAAAAAGATGTGACTGACATATCACACTTTTTCTGCTCAGAGATGATTTTTCTTTTCAACAGCAGGTGCACAGAGCACAACGGCAAAAACACATATTGCTTAAGCAGTGAGCTAAACGCTTGCAGCCTTTAGAAAACCATTCAAAAAAGGCGCTTTTCATTACAATAAGCGTGTTCGGTATGATTGGCCCCTAAAACACTAATATTCTATAAAAAAAACTGTTCCCTTATGGTAATTTTGTTGTTTTTGAGAGCTTTCAGAGGCAGAAAACTCGCGTTGACACTCAGATTACCCAGATCAAGATTAAACAAATAAAAAAAGTGCATTCTAGTTATTTTTAGTTTTATTTACTGTTTTAATGACAAAAAATATTTAACCATTTTTTTAGCTGTAATTGTTCACAATGATATGCATATATAAACAGAAAGCCACAAGTTGTGGTTATGAATACTAAACCTGTTTTTTTTAATCCCGCCACAGTGTCTAATGGCCAGGAAAGACGGAAAACCGAGTCCAGCGTTGGTCTTCCTGGATTACGTGTGTCCGTCATACAGGATATGAGGTTTGTTTATCACTTGATGGCGTATTACAGGGGTTTGGTTTTATAATAATTCAGTTTGGTAACTTATAAGAGATGATAATGTTTAAAAATGTTTACATACACCAACAATGTTCACAATGTTTAAAAGGCTTGTGGCCTTTCAAATTCACATTGTTTTTCTATTTCTTAAACATACTTTCTGTGTCTCTTTTGACTTCTCAGACACATCCAGAACATGGCAGAGATTAAGACTGATGTAGGTCGAGCACGTGCCTGGATCCGTCTGTCTCTGGAGAAAAAACTGCTTTCCCAGCACCTCAAACAGCTGCTGTCAAACCAGGCCTTAACCAAGTATGTACCACACACTTTTGTGCACCTGCAAAATTACATTTCTGGCTTTTTAGCTTTTCATTTTTTTTTTTTTTTTGAGTTTAATGCAAAGGAAAATTATCTGAAATATACTTTTAAGTGCTACTTTTTTCACACTTTTTCAACTTGTGTCTGTAGATTTTTTTTTTAAAGCCAGTTTTCTCAAAATGAGCTTGTCCTCCTACATCAAAACTTAAATCGCCACATCAGCATCACTTCATATCAAACTTCTTTTTTTTTCATAGATTTAAGTTTTTACAGAGGTATATATGTCCATACATAATTTGCTTGATTATATACAACATTTTATTCTTTAAAATTTTGAAAAATTAGCGGTATGTTCTGAATTATGGAGGGATGAAAATAGATTTGCAAAATATGTCAACATTTTTTTGAACCTGACTTTATCCCATGTTCTGTCCGTCAATGTTTGTGCTTAAAATCAGTGCATATAAGCACATACTGTATTGAATGAAATAATGTCTTTGCATATTTAAATGAAACATTTGAGAGAACATGCAACACAATTTTTTTTTGCAATTGTTAATGTAATCTATTGACTGGGGAAGTATGGTGATAACTGTTGTTAAAACTGAGGATTTTTTTGCCTTAACCCAACCCAAACACCTAGACTCGCCATAAAACATCCTCTGAGTGATGCAAACAAGTACACACACTCTGGCCTGTTTCAAAAAACTGCAGCTGTTATTAAGTTTTGCTCTGTTCCCACAGGAAGCTCTACAAACGTTACGCTTTTCTCCGCTGTGAAGAGGAGAAAGAGCAGTTTCTCTTTCATCTCCTGAGCCTGAATGCTGTGGACTACTTCTGCTTTACCAGCGTCTTCACTACTATAAGTACGTCCCGGAGAAACACGCACACATATATACATATGCACACCAGCACCATAGTGGGAATGTAGATTCAGATTATAGGCAGCACAATGAATACTGCCATAATGTAAACAATGTGGGATTTAATTTAATTTTATTAATGTAACAAACTTTTTGCAGGGTATTTGCGGGGTCTTAAAATGTCTTCATTCTTAAAAGTTAAATCTTAGGCTTTAAAATGTTTTAAATCTACTAAAATGTTGTGTTGCAGGTCTTAAATCTTTTTGAACAGGTCTAAATTTTCCTTTGTTTATGTATAGCTACCCAATTAAATTATCCTTAAACTAAACATTTCTCATTTCATTTTATTTACCTACGGAAACATAGTGTTGCAACCTTTGTTGCTGGATAATTATATGCCTAGAAATATATACGAATTGTGCTAAGAACATTGTATAAAAAACCCAGTGTCGTCACGTGTTATGTTTTAATTTTACCATTATTATGGTGAAGTAAACGGTTGTAGACTGACCTCCGCGTATAGCGTCTTTTTCCTCAAATTATTCAAGCTTTCACTTTCACATAGCAACTTGCAATATTTTTTATTGTTAATCATGAACTCACTTTGTTTTTGTGTAACATTTTGTTTAGTTTCCACCTAATTTGTGTTGTTTTCGCATTGTAAGTGATCCCATACCGGGCTGTGATCATCCCCATCAAGAAGCTGAGTAACGCCATGACCACGTCCAACCCCTGGCTGTGTGTGTCGGGCGAGCTGGGCGACTCCGGCATCCTGCAGATCACCAAAAACATACTGGAGATGACATTCGACGTGAGTTTCAGCTCAGAAACTGATACACGTTGCTTTATTTAGTTTTCCTGTGGGACTGAAACAATCACCCATCCTGTCTTCTGCAAATTTGAGCTTGTTTATGGCTCTTTCGAACACCTGCTTCATTGAAATGAGTTAAACTCAATCTATTAGGAAGTAGAATGAAAGTAACAATGTAATGATTACTAGTCTAAATGCTTGGCATAACTTCTGTTTAAGCATTCTAATTTATATTTCACTCCTTTCTTTTATTCTCAGTGCAAAAAATACAACATTTATAATGTTTTATTGTCTTACAGTTTTGGGTTTACTGAGATTTTTATGTTACAAATAAGAAATAAAGATCATATTAACTATAATATTAATGTTAGTAAACAGTAAATAATCTAAAGAAATAAGTTAAAATAAGGCTTTTGTGCTTTGGGAAGTGACTTTTTTTCTTGCTACTGAAGTGACTCTCTTGGTGTTCAAACTTCAAACTGATTGAAACCTCTGAATACTGTACATGTGTAAGTTTTGTGTCTTCCCACCTCACAGAATCGGTCCGTGTGTGTGAGTGTTGTGTGTTTGTGTGTCCATCATGTTGTAACTCATTGTGTGTCCTCTCACAGTCTGCCTTTAGGCCTCACACGCACATCTCCATCGCCTTCAAGGTTAGCTGACCATCAATCCATTCTCTCCATTCATCCAGCTCTGCATTTCACTCCACCTCTTTCTCTCTTTCCATTCATCCACCTCTATATGCACCTCTATTTAGAGAGATCTGCTCTGTTAATCCTGTGGGTTTCTTTCTAGCTTTAAATCCTGTGATTTGTATGCAATTCTTTCCACTGACTTTTGATTTTTACATGCACAGGTTGAGGGGAAACATGTAGATCAAAGGTTTCAAACTCGATTGCTGTAGGGTCGCAGCTCTGCACAGTTTTGCTCCAACTGTTCAAGACTACTATACTATACTATACTACACTATACTATACTATACTATACTATACTATACTATACTATACTATACTATATAAGACTATTAAGCAGGTGTGATTTGGAGGTGGTTGGAGCTAAACTATGGTTCTTTCAAAATTCCAAGAACGCAAAGAATGGACTTGCGTCTTTGTGGAGACTGGTCTTGCCAAGTTACCTCGGAAGAACAAACTGGGGAGACCACGAGAACCCAGAACGTTTCCTGTGAGAAATGATATGCTGTGATCTTCCTGGTTCTTCCTGATGGTCACATACCCTTCACACATTTTAAATGGAAAATTATTTAAACATTACAGCATTCAAACTATTTAATGTTTTCCCCCTTTTCACAATATATACTATGCATAAAAACCTTACAAATATACATTGCACAATGCAAATAAAAAATTGTATTATGTAAATTTCAGCATATAAACACTCTTAATGTGTTTATGCCTTTATTAAAATTTTCATGGTAATGTTTACTTTCATCATTTCATTCTGGGAAACTGCTGAGACAAATAAGTTAAATCTCTGAACTTTAATGACAAATCTATATTGAATGCTGCACTTTCCACCTTCGTATTCAGCCACAATGACTTCTGGGACTTCTCAAGTGAGTTTTGCACTGCATCGATGCGTCTTCGATTTCAAGAACACATCTAGGAACTTTCACGCGTCCTCCGTTCTTGCGGTCTTGAGTATTGGAACTGAACTTTGGCAGTTGATGATGACTGTTCACAAGAACACGAGGATGCAAGATTGCTGAGAGCGCATATTTAGAAACAGCCTATGCAGAATTGCAGCCCTCCAGGAATTGGGTTTGACACCACTGATGTAGATTGACATGAAAATGCTAAATTATCGTCCATATTTTTTATTAATCATAACATAACATAACATAACATAACATAACATAACATAACATAACATAACATAACATAACTAATATAAATGTCTCATCAAAATATATACAAATGTAATATTTTTTGCATTAAACTTTTAAAAAATAATATTTATTTGTAACCTTATTTAATTTATACTTGAATTATAATAAAACTATAATAAATACTTTTAAATGATTATTAATAATAATTTGATTTATTTATTTACTTCATTATTATTTTTATTATGCACATTATTTAATGGTATCACATTATCACATACAGTGATATCCAATAGTATCACATTATTCATTATTAGACACTTTTTGTATACATATTTTATATTGCTTGAATATACAAATATTAAATATTTTCATATTTATATGTATGTAAATATTTAAGTTAGTTTAGTTACAAACATATCATACATTAATTTATATTTCTAGTTTTGGTAAACATGTATTCAAACACTTATTAGAATTTTTTCCTCTTATTTTGTTCCTAAAATGTTTGTGCTTGTCTATTTATTCTATTTACTCACCAGAAAGCTTTATATATATATATATATATATATATTTGAGGTTTTTTTTTTTTGAGTTTTAGCTGTCTTCATTCCCTATTTTTTTTAGCGCTGTAAGTTGTAAAATTTTTTTACAATGTTCAAACCCGGCAATATATATTGTACACCCCTTCACCTTCATCTCAGTGTTCATCCGATGTTCACCTTCTTCTCAAACACATGATCTCTTTCTCTCTCTCTCTCTCTCTCTCTCTCTCTCTCTCTCTTGGTTCACAGTGCCAGAATCTGGGCAAGCTGACCACTGTTCAGCTGGGTCATGATAACTCCGGCTTGCTGGCCAAGTGGCTGGTTGATTGCGTCATGGTCCGCAATGAGATCACCGGACACACATACAAGTACGGCCTTTTTCAGCCTCTCAACACAATTGTTAAGCTCAGTTTCTAATTCCAAACACACTATCAGATGCCTAAAGTGAACAAAACAATGCTACCAATATACTCTCACAGTGAGCTCTAATGCTATTGAAAATCATAAAGGTAGTGTTTATATTCATGCCTAATCTCAGATGCTCAGACAGTGATTTATCTTTTATAAATGGATCAAATATTGGTGTCTCTGTAGTGAACAGAACAACATTTAGTAAAAGATTAGCTCTAATATGTGATAGGAATTAATAATGGTCATGTTTGAGAATTAAGATAAGAAGAAACTTTTTTTTTTTTATATGTCATAGTCTTGTCTATGTTTTTGTGACTCATTTTCTGGTGGTCTTCCTGCAGGTTTCCCTGTGGCCGGTGGCTGGGAAAGGGTGTGGATGATGGCAGTCTGGAGCGAGTGCTGATTGGAGAGTTTGTGGTGCCTTGCGGCGATGATGAAGGAGGTCGAGGGTCTAAAACACCACCGCTCCAGAGGTCGCCCTCCCAGATCCGGAGAATCAGCATCACTTCACTCACCGGAAAAGGAAACAGTCAGTCTGGATTCTGTTTATTTATTTTTTTAAATGAATAGTTCACCCAGAAATTAAAATTCTGACATCATTTACTTCCCTTGTTCTAAACCTGTTAGAGTTTTTTTCCATTGAACATAAAAGAAGATATTTTGAAGAATGTTAAAAACCGGTAACCATTGATTTCCTTAGTTATTGTTTTTCCTATTATTGTTAATGGCTTCTTTTTTCTAGCACTCTTCGGAATATCTTCTATTGTGTTTAGAACTGAGTGAGTAAATGTTCAGTATAAGAGTAAATATTATAGATGAATATTAAGTGTAAGTAAATGTAAATATTAAGTGTGTGTAAATGATGATTTTTTTTCAGTGTACTATCCCTTTAAGTCTTCTAATTTTCGTATGGGGGGCTGGAAATTTATCTTGGGCTTATAGTGACGTCTAGTGGTTTAAATGTAGCATTACACAAATGTACTCTTCTGCTTACCGATAGGCAGTTTTCTTCTTTTTAATTGTAAGTTTTGGTTGTTTTTATACAAACAGCATGCATTTTAGCAAAAAACAAACAAACTTATTTTTGTACATAAATCTATATTACACTATCTACCAAATGTTGTTCTTCTTAGGAGTTTAATGACAGAATTACGGAAGCCTGTTGAAAATGCAGTATTTAATCTTTGTGGTATTTAAGTGAAAAGTGTTAAATTATTTGTAAATAGACTTTGTTTTGCTTACAAGAGTTTATAATGTTAACTTTATTATTATCATTATTTACAATTTGTAATATTTTGGTACATTTGTTTCTGTGCTTTAAAGGTCAAATAGGTTAAAAGGACAGTTCCCAAACTTACTATTTATTCACCTCACATCAACTCACTATTTATTTACATTTATGAGTTTCTTTATTTCTGTTGAACATGGAAGAAGATATTTTAAAATATGTTAAAACGGGTAACCACTGACTTCAATAGTAAGAAAAACAAATGCTATGGAGTTCAATGGTTACAGGTTTCCAGCTTCCTTTAACATATATTCTTCTGTGTTTGTATTAATATCAGAGCATGTTTTGTAAAGGGTTACACTATTTACCTGTAATGAATGACTTTTGAAAAGCTCTATTAATGGTTGACCATAATTAATATATAAATGTAGAGTGTTTAATTCTGAAGTCAAATCACTGCTGATGTGATCTTATGCGAACAATTTTTAAAATGTAAAATAAAAAATGAATGAAAAGAAATATTAGTTTTATTAGGGTATAGATTTAACATGATTAAGATCTATTTAACTAATTATGAATGTGAAGTGCTATTCGTTCATTTAGAGAAATAAAATAAGTTTCCTCTTGTAAAATGTAATCCTCCTCCTCCTTTCTTCAGAACCAACAACCGTTCAGATCCAGGAATCTATCGGTGAAGCAGTCAACAATATAATTAAACATTTCCACAAACCAGAGAAAGAGGTATGACTTATCTGCTTATATATTACACTACATGTTTTCCACCTTTGTTTGTATTTTCTCTGTTATATCTTTTGTGTTGTTTTTCAGCGGGGCAGTCTCACGGTTCTGCTGTGTGGAGAAGGTGGTCTTGTTTGGGCGCTGGAGCAGTTTTTCCACCATGGGTTTCGCTCTGCTCGAATCTTCCAGAAAAATGTCTTTGTTTGGGATTTCTTTGGTAAGAACAGATTATTAATTGTAGTTTGTTTTGACGTCTTAAAAGAATAACAGTGGCTATTACTAATACAGTTGTTTATTTATTAGTTTTTTAGAAGTTTAATTTAGTGTAGAATAGAAATTTTATAGAGTTTTAAAAATAATTTAGTCCTACAAATCTCAAAAATCTTAATATAGCTGCTTTTTTAATATATGCAGGTTGCTTATTTGAGGTTTATTTAAGTAATAAGTATATATACAGTTGATTCCTTTTAATTGATAATTTAGGAATTTATTATTTAGCAAAGAAGACATTTATGTATTTTGGTTTTTACATCCTCCCCCTTATTATTATGCTGTAGAATTTTTTTTTGTGATTAAAGTTTTTATTGATTTCATCCGATACATGACAAAGTATTATAAATACATGTTACAGGTTAATACGAGTAGGCCTATTTTTTTTAAACCGGAACATATACAGCAGTTAATATAAAAAATATATACTAAATTAGGAGGAAAAGAGAGCCAAGTAGATTAAAAACTAATTAATAATAATAATAATAATAATAATAACAATGAAGAAAAAGAATTAAATGTTTAAATTATTGTTACATGAAAAGACATTGTCACTTAAGAACAAACGTCTTTCCAAACTGCGAAACACACAGAAACTCCTGCTTTGTCCTTGTCCTATAATTTGTAAAGTAAATGTTCATACAAAGCTGTTTCATTCATTAAATTGACCTTTTCTTTTAAATCTTTTAGAAATTTAGTTTAAGAACTGAATTTGTGTATAATTTGTGTTTGCTGTTACGTTTAAAATACCTACATTAAATAGACAGTCAAAATTATTAGCCTTTCTGTGAAATTTCTTTTTTCAAATATTTCCCAAATGATACTGGACTAGTTAACCTAATGAACCTAGTTAAGCCTTTAAATTGCACTTTAAGCTAAATTATAGTATATAAAAATATCTTGTAAAATATTATTTACTGTCATCATGGCAAATATCAATAAATCAGTTATTAAAAAAATAGTTATTAAAACTATTATTTTTAGAAATGAGTTAAAAAAAAACTTCTCTCTGTTAAACAGAAATTGGGTAAAAATGTATACGGGGGGCTAATAATTCTTCGACTGCATATTTAATGATGTTTTTAGGTTACTAATCAATCTGTGTTTGTGTGTTGTACAGAGAGAATAGTAGCGTTTATGGAGAACAGAGATCAAACTGGAGACCTGCAAGAATCCCCCGAGCCTCTCAGCCTGAATAGCGAATCACTCTGTCGATACGTCAACGCCATCAACAACATGCCACGCAACATCGGCAAAGACGGCAAATTCCAGCTGCTAGTTTGCCTCGGCGCGAGGTCAGGACACACACATGCTAGTTCATTTTATTTTGATAGGATATATGCAGAAATTTTTTTTTATTTTTAAATAATCCAGTTTATTACAAAATCGCAGTGTTTTAACGTCTGTTTATGTGTTTTTTGCTCACCCACAGAGACCGATTATTACCCCAGTGGCTCCCTCTACTGGCTGAAAGCCCGGTCATCACGCGTATGTACGAAGAAAACGCTTTACTTCGAGACAAACTCACCGTAAGCTCTCTCCTCGGCGTCTTAGAAACGCTACATGATTTCCCCATTACCCTGGAGACTTCGCTTACAAAAAGCGTCGAGCTGTAATTCAGCGTGGCGAAGTTCAAACTCAGACTGCTTCAGGCCATCTTCAGGACTGAAACCGTATTACAAGTTTGCTGGGTTTTTTTTGTTGTTTTTTTTGCGGAGATTGACTGAAGACTCTTCTTCGCCCCCAAAGAAATGAACTCTGAACTTCAGACGTGTGTTTTGTAGCAGTATTTGGAGTCGTGCTCTTTCTAGCCGAACGTTTTAAGAAGACCTGTGGATTTATTTAGCTTTCGAAAACCTGTGGTCGTTTGTCTGCGATCGAGTCGCATCTGCTTCAGATCATGCTCTGACTTTATAAAACACTATTTTGACAACTGCTGAGGAGCCTTAGTACGGACCTGTTATGTTCAGTTAATCAGAATCAAAGTGATTATACTTGACGAATTCACCCAACTTCGAGTGTTTATATGAACTTTAGCTGTTTAAACTGATGCTGTTTGTTGGCGAGTAATAGTTCCTGTTTTAAGGCTGTTCATACAGAATTTTCAAAGAAAATGGTCATTCCTATAGGATGTGAATCGCTGTATGTTACGAAATTTGTGATCCATGCGGTCTGGTTGAACACTTTAAGGAGATGTTTATTTTGCCAATGAGTATTAACTTCATTCTTAGCTACTTCGGTGGGTTTCAACTGGCTTACGTTCAAGAAAGAAACACTGGAAATCATTCAAAGCAATAACGAGCCCTTATTTGCCATAAACCTTCAATATACAGTATCCTGTGGGGTGTAAACCCTAGTATTTACCACTTAATTAAGCGTATTACTTTGTTAATCCGAGTTGATTACTACAGAACTTGCACAACGCTTAGTGATTAAGTAAAACTCATTTTATTTTATGAGCAGTTTTAATCCTTCTGAATGAAATTGACAATTGTTGCAGGATTAAAAATGGCTTTCGGTCACTTAACATTTCTTTTTGTTTTTAAGACGCTCTGCATTTAATCCGTATGTATGCGAACACTTAACCTGTGTGTTTTATTTCATTTCTATATTTCTTTTATAGTAACTCGGATTGTTTGTAAGTATTTATTTTCAGAGGAATCTTTTGAGACACTGGTCGATTATCTTGGGGTTGCAGTAAGCTTACACTGAATCATTTATTTATTTTAGGTAAACTACTTTATCATGGGTTCGGAGTGTGTGTATAGTGTCGAATCCCTCCTCATCTTGTGTAAAAAAGTCCATGAGGGAACTGTCCACCTGTTTGCGGTGCTGATGCATGCGACATGTTTTTTTTTTATGTAGATCTTGGAGAAGAAGTACTGTTGCTGTAAATGAATTGGTTCCTCTTCTAGATTCTTTCCGTCTCGTTGCATCAGTTTATTCCCTGTATAAAAGCGTTGATCATATTATGAAATGCTCCCGGGTTTCTCCGTCATGTTTATATTTGTGAAGCAGCTCATTAAAAGTGCTCCGTACATAAATCTGTATTTGAGTCACGTGTGATGTTGATGATGAGTGGTGTGTGTCGACATTATTTCGGCATGCATGATATTCCAGGACAGCACTCAGGTCCTAGAGAACATTCCTCTATGAAGAGTCATTCCTTGTGGAGCTTTATTTTTAGTTTTAGGGACACGCTGATGGCATCTGTAGGATAAATGCTTCGCTCTTGGCTCATAGAAGGCATTTTTATAACGGAAACCTATTTAGCTACTTACAGATTGTCTACAGTGGTGACATCACTACCTATATGTGTATAGACAACATTTACAGTGCACTGTAAAACCCAACAGTCTACTTGAGCAAATGAAATGAGTGTAGTTAACTCAAAATGCACTGTTTAAGTTCATTTAAGTTCATTCTTAAGTTCATTTAAGTTCATTAAGTTATGTTTAAGTTCATTTAAGTTCATTCTAGTCATTTGAAAAGAGTTTTGAACTCTTGAAGTGTTGAAGGTAATGAGTTCATTAAATACCTCATTACTTCAACTTAAATGGAGGAATTTCACAGTACTCGTATGGATTTTTTTTTTTTTTTTACTCAAATGGTTTGTTGCGATCGGTCTTCTCTAACGGTTTGAGCTGCCGTAACTTATTAGGTTTTACAGTACTCAGTTGGTTTAAGTTCTCTTCATTTATTGGGTTTTACTGTGCTCAAATTGCTTCATTTACTCAAATGGATTAAGTTCACAGCACTCATTAGGGTTAGTTTTTGAACTTAAATGGTTTGTTGCAATCGGTTTCCTCAAATGGTTTGAGTTACCTTCACTTTTTGGGTTTTACAATGTACATAAAGGTAAGAAGCAAAGTTTGGGTGTCTCTCTTGTTTGATTTGTGATCACAAATACATTTTAAAGAAATAGTCTACCCCTAACAAATTGAGTTTACTATTAACTTTTTTCTTTCGAAGGACATTAAAGAAGTTTATCTGTGTGTGAAACGGTGGTTCTTAGCAGTTCAGAAAATGATGCTTGGCAGTTCGTAAAAGTAAACAGTTACTGGCACAATGAAAGTATAAGAAGAGGTAAGGTAAGTGGTTGCAAACAATTTATATAGGCTTAACTTAAACAAATGAAGTTGGACATACTAAAATTAATTTTGTTCAATTCAATAAGTATATATTTTTCTAATGTACAGGCAAAACTACATTAATATCTGTGGCTCATGATGCTCAGGACTGTTCGTTGAGACTCTGGATTAAAGGTAATAAAGGTGTAAATGATTTTCAGATACTTGTACATGCTAAACGTTTTACTTCTTCACTTCATAAGACCTCAGTGTATCTATCGCTGGTTGTAACTTTGTTTTGGCTGTGTATGTTTTTTGGTCCTGGATTGACTTGTATGTAATACATCACCAAGAACCACAGTTTTAGCTAGAAAATCTTTAACGGATAAATGTCTTAAAATGTTCTGCTAAGGAAAAAAGTAACCTGGGTCTCTGTATATGTGTATATGTACTATACAGAGGACATGAACTTATTTTGCATGAATTTACTAATAAATATAGGAATTAGCAATTTAGTAAATTATAAATATGCCACATCTCAAATTATACTGTATACAGGCCAGTAGCCAGCCTAGTGAAAAGGGTGGTTCTTTTTTTTCTCCAAAAATGGACGTTTTGCAGTTATTCACCTTATTTTCTATTTAATTATCAGGTTTACATACTGCCACACTGTCATAACCACACTTTTTAGGTACCAAAAACATTTGCTAAACAATTAGAATAAAGAAATATGAATAAAAAAAAAGTTTTTTTTTAAAAATACAAATCCATTACATCATACATCAGTGGAAAAAAGCAGTCTGTTAAAGTTTTGAATTAAAACAAACAGACAAACTGTAGCCTATTGTCATTTTTTTGGGGGGGTAAATAACAAACTGGCCAGATTTTGAATCGGATCAGATATCAGATTTTTGCCATCTGAAAAATTTTTTTTTTTGTAAAAAAAAAAAGAAAAAAACAAAAAAGAAAAAGAAAAAAAGTTTATAATTAAAAGTTATTGACAAAAAGTCAACATGACCATCAAAATAAACCTTCGGTGCTTCAAACATTTTCATTTGTTTTTTTTTTCAAGAATAAGGTCCAAGATTCAGAATAAAAGTTGCTTGTAGTGAAAGATGATTTGTGTGTTTTCTTGCACAGTTGGATGTTGGACTCATGAAAAATTATTGTTTGCATTCAATAAAAGCCTACTTATTTGGGTTATTTCCATAATTTAAGAAGGAATAGCAGGCAAAATATGACAAATGAGCTTATGTATGGGACAAATTCTGAACCTTTTATTAGTGGGGTTGGGTCTTTCGAACCAACTTAACCCCCTTTGGTATACAATGTAAGATTTTTTTTAAGTGTGCTCTATACAGTATAAAAGGGTATAGTAAAAATGAAATGGAAACTATTCTTGTTTTCACTGTCATGGGATCTATGGCTTCACTTCTATTCACAAATCCTCAAGGGATAATACAGATAAAAATCAACATTATCGCTAGTATGAGTCAGTAAGGTTCACTATATAAATAAATGTATGTATATATATATATATTGGACATACACTAAAAAATTATGACAACTAATGATTTTATATTACTTTCTATGCATATATTATTTTAATAAGTAAATAAAGTTTTAACGAATAAGTTATGCAAAGTTGAACTTAATATATTAGTTTGATTGATGTAAGTTAAGAAGACTAGAACAGTTAATCTGATTTAGCTGCACTGTAAAAAGTGAAAACAAATTACTTTGACTTGTTACAGTTAAATGAATTAAGTTTGACAGTAATAAATTCTTTATTGTAGCAAGTTTTAGGAATTTATTTAGGAAAACAAGAATGGAACAGTTCAGATCATTCAATATAATATTGTTAATAAAATAGTAATAATAGTAAAAAAATCTTTAATTACAGTAAAAATGATTTCCATCCCATGTTAATATAATAATAACACTTTTATGTTTTGTGGCAAATTAATGTTTACTATACTGTAAAACCCAAAAAGTTAAGATAATTAATTATTAAAGTTAAAGGAAAAACTAACCCTAATGAGTGCTGTGAACTTAATCCATTTATGCTGAAGTAATGAGGAATTTAATTAACCCATTACCCTCAACACTGAGTTCAAAACTCTTTTCAAATGACTAGAATGAACTTTCAGTATATTTTGAGTTAACTACACTCATTTCATCTGATAAAGTTGACTGTTGGGTTTTACAGTGTAATTGTAAACAATACTTGCCATAAAAAATGACTAAAACTTGTTACACCTAAAGAAAAACTAAATGAATTTACTATGAAAACAGTCATAAATTAAGTTTGTCAAACCTAATTCGTTTAATTGTAACAAGTCAAAGTAATTTGTTTAAGTGCTCTCTTTTTTTGGAGTACACTGTAAAAAATGCTGGGTTCAGTTTGTGTTGGGACAACATATAGGAATTAAGTTAACACACTTAGTTTTTACAAATTTAAGTGGATTGAACATAAAATATGAAGTTGTTCAAAAAAACCTCAATAATTGTGTTGCTTCAGCTTGTTTTTGGAGAGTAATAAATAGTCATTCTCTACACTGTTTTCACCTAGTATACAAGTGGGCATATTTGAGGGTGAAAAGTTTTTTTGCAAGCTGCTTACAGTTGTATATTAGCATGTTGTTTTTATTTTACACTAAAAATAATGACAAAGTCATGACAATAATGATTATATATTTCTTTTTATATTTATATTATTTTAATAAGTTAATAAAGTTTTAACTAAGTTATATAACGTTTAACTTAATATATCAGTTTGTTTGATGTAAGTTGAGAAGACCAGAACAGTTAATCTGCTTCATCTACACTGTAAAAATGCTGGGTTCAGTTTGTGTTGGGACAACATGAATGAATTAAGTTTACTTGATAGTTTTGCAAATATAAGTGGGTTGAACATAAAATAATTAAGTTGTTCCAAAAAAACTAGAGAATTGTGCTGTTTCGGCTCATCCTAAATGCATAGTTTTCAGCCAATGTTATTTTTGGAGGGTAATAAATAGTCATTCTCCTCTCAAACACTGTTTTCGCCTTTTATATAGTATACAAGTGGGCATATTTGAGTGTATCATTATAAACAATTAAAGATGAACTATTTTTTGCAAGCTGCTTGCACAGTTTTTATTTATTTATTTATTTATTTATTGACTGATTGATTAACAAATATTTGAATAGGATATTATAAACAAACAAACACTGAGTTACAAACAAAACAGCACACTCTCTATAGCCTATATAACGTTACACTTGACATGACTGCTTCAGGGAATCATTTCTTGCTCCAAAATTCTTCTGCGTTTTTATGAAAGTGTTACATTTATAAGGTCTAATATCGTTCAACTCCTCCAGTGTTTTCAGTACTTGCGCAGCAGAGTGTCCAAACAGCGCAAGCTCGACCTTTTGAGATGCAGAAGAGCCGCAGCTGCCGACATGTGCTCATGGCTGCCGAGCTGAAGGATGTGCTGCTGCGTTTGTTCCGACATCTGCTCTGCTCTGCTCGTAGTAGTAGCTCGTAACTCCGCCCACCGGGATCGCAGAGCACTGGCTGCTGCCCCTAGCAACCGGACCCGCCCACGTTTCCCGCGTAATTTTCTCTTCCTTATATGGGCAATAGAATGCAGACGCAGTCAAACGTCAGCGGCGTATGCAAATGAGGTTGATTGAAGAAATTCAGAAAATGGTGGATGGCCGTCGGCGCATGCGTAAACATTTTACTACACTCAGACAGAAAGTGAGACAGTAACGAGTGGCGCATTGTTAAATGAGTAACGCCTGTAACTCTTGGATTTCGCTGTGTGGTTTGACTTCTACTGCTCCAAGTCGAGGTAAGAATAAAAAGGCTTTTTGGGTAAAAGTAACTTGGGAGTTTTTACGCGTGCAGAAGATGTCATCGCCTTTCGAGAGGAAAGAAGTTGTGTGACAGGGCGAAAGCTGTCGCATTCGTCAGCAGTGTAACAGAAAGATGACTTTGGAGGCTTGCCGAAACACTTTCAGCTTTTACTTCAGGGTAAAAGCGCGATAAGTTCAGTGTTTACACTTGATGGTGAGGCTGCTCATACCGCGCATCACATTTTAGGGCGCTCGCATCCTTTACAGGGGATCGCTGCTGTTAAGTGTTTTATGGCTAAATCGATACATTTGACGCCGGAATTGATTTATTTTCTTTATAACAGAACTTAGGCGTATTAGAAACACGCTCTGGATGATTGTTTAGATAGAAAGAGCTTTTAAAAATAGGACATTTGCATTCGTATTCCGTTTAAAAACCCAATAAATAGGTGCGCGAATTATAAGATGTACACGAAATATCTAATAAACGCGAACGTGGCGTCACATTGCGCGCATTTAGGACAAGTTTCGCTGTTTATACTCGATTTGAACTTGGGATAGTGAACTATCCTTGTGACTGCGTGTGGTCTGTTCACTCCTGTTGGTGGGTGTGCTTCAAAACAAACCCGCATTTTCACAAGCTCGTCAACATGCGTTTACAAACTTCTGCTTCTGGAACTCAAAAGAGGTCGACGTTTATAAAAACTAGCTGTGGTAGTCTTAAAGATTCATTTCATGAGAGATGGAGGCGGTGTCACTGACGCATTTAATCGTGGAGCTAATAAAATCGATGTTTTAGTATTGCGCTGGAGTGTTTAAAAGTGTCTTAAATCGTCCTGTTGATGAAATAAACTTGCAAATGGGAGTTTAGTCGCGCTCTGTGTCCTTGGGTGAAGTTGTTACGCGGACAGCATGTGTTTACAGTCTCGAGCGCGAAGCATGGAGGCGCACGAGCCACTGACGCAGAGCCGCGCGGAAAACAAAGAGCAGCGGACGAGGAGAGCGCTTTCCTTCAGCTGGCTGTCTTTATTAGACACGTCTAACATCAGGGAAACCCTGCGAATTGATTCCTCGCACAGAGCAGAGGTCGTTTTATTGGCAAACTGCGGCGAAAACCTGCTGAATGTGTGTGTTTAAAGATGCCGTGTGGCGTGCCATGCTTCCGCGCGAGCTGGTGGGCGGTGAATACAGCGGGACGCGCGCACCATTTCACTGCAGTGCGCGGACGGCCGTGCGTCTAAACGCCGCAAAATATTAATTATGCGGTTATTATATGATATGGGTAACTTTAGGTGACACATTTAAGCGTGTTGAATTCACTTTTGGTCGAGGTTTCCGCGACGGCATCGCATTACTTTCTTGCCCCCATTTTTCTGCCCCTCCTCTCTTCTCAAACGCGTTGCCATGTTTGAATTGCGTCAGAGGCAGAATATACAGTCAAGCGCCCGTTCAACTCTTATACTGTACAAACATGTTTCAATAGTAGGCTATGGTAACATTTAGGCTATCTAAAAAAACATGTATATACACGATGAAAGGCTTCAGATAAGCTTATACAGATGTTTTTTCTTTCTTCTGTAATAAATGAAAGTGCTGCTGTCCGTCACCGGTGACTGTCCTGCTCCATCATCAGCACCCTGTTATATAAGAGCAGCTCCAGTCCATTAAGATCTGATCCTGCTGACGCGATGATGATGACTGATGATAACCCACGCACACACACGCACACTCTTTTTTGTTCAAAATATTAACTTAATATTTATAAAATATTGTTAGAATTGGACCAAACTAATAATACTGAGACAACGTACTTTAAATGTTTTTTTGTATAATTAAAATGTGTGTATTTTAAGTGTGTGCATCAGAGTATTACAATTATGCAATATGAATAATATACAATATATACCTAAAATATGAGTAATATTTTCATTTGCTAGTTTAAACTATTATTTCAATGACTAGATTTATTCAGATTATTCCAATTTAAATCTAAAATATACAATAAATCAAACTTGTATATAGCCTACATCTAAATAACCTGTACTGTAGCTCTTCTAGCCTTCTTGAAGCTCAGCTGGTAGATCACGTGGCTTTGATTCCCATGCAAGAAAAGCAAGAACTAATAATTATAGTAATAAATCTTTGCCTTTAATGATATGTAAGTTGCTTTGGATTTCAGCATCTGCCAAATGTGTGAATGTAAATTATTAGTAGATTTGAATGTTGTTGTTATAACATTATTAGTAAATGTGTCATTATATTATTAACTACACTTATTAAACCGTTTGTAAAACAAAAAAAAGATAGGAGTGTTTTGCAGAAAAATATTATTTCTGACTTTTGTCTTGCACCTTTCGCATTTAATTCAGTCTGTTATTTGATTCTTTGTGGAATGTTCATGCTGTTTGTCAAGATTGTTTTTAGTCTGCACACCATTTGTTTTCAGTGAAGTCTGTGATGTTCACTAAGGCTTCATTTATTTTATCAAAAATATGGAAAAATAATATTGAGGAATAATATTAACTACTATATAATTACCACTTTTCTTTTATATGTACTTTAAAATTTCATTTATACTATAATTTACATCATATAATAATAATAATAATACTATAAGTTATAGTTATTACTATATAATAATACTATAATATATACAAATATGAATACAGTTTTCTTCAATAAATTGATCAATACTGACAGTGAAGTCATTTAAAATGTTACAAAACATTTTTTATTTCTAATAAAAGTATGACTTTGCAACTTGAACAACTTTATGACTTTATTGAAGATCCCTGAAAAGGTCTGAAACTAATACAAATTAATACAACAGGTATGCACCAAACAAATCTCCAAAATCATTCTATTCTAACAAATATCAGAAAATCTCTGTCAATCAGCAGAAGTACTGAAACCCTTTTTTTTTGTTTTCAGATGTTTGGCTTTCACAAGCCGAAGATGTACCGCAGCCTTGATGGATGCTGCATCTGCAGGGCAAAATCCTCCAGCTCTCGCTTCACCGACAGCAAACGCTATGAGAGAGACTTTCAGAGCTGCTTTGGGTGAGTGCGCCATCCTCCTATACTTTTGCCAAATTTATATCAGTGTGGTTCACCTCCAAGAAAACGACCATTCACTCCTAATGTACTTGTTTCTTTAAACCTTTATGAATTTCTTTCCTCCACTGCACTGAAAAGAAGATATTTCGAAGAATGTTGGAAAGCAGCAGCCATTGACTTCCATAGTATTTAATCTTAAACCTACTAAAGAATTAAATGGCTACATGTTTCCAACATTCATCATATCTTCTCTTGTCTGTTAACAGAAGAAAGAAACTCAGTCAAGTTTGAAACCATAGACCAGGCATGTCCAAACTCGGTCCTGGAGGGCCGGTGTCCTGCATATTTTAGTTCCAACCTCAATTAAACACACCTGAACCAGTTAATAAAGCTCTTTCAATGTATACTAGACTTCCTGGCAGGTGTATCAGAGGAAGTTGGAGCTAAACTATGCAGGACAGCGGCCCTCCAGGACCGAGTTTTGACACCCCTCCCATAGACCAAGGGTTTCCCTACCCTGTTCCTAGAATTCTACCTTCCAACAGATTTCAGCTTGAACCCTGATCAGACACACCTGAACCAATTAATTAGGACCTGAATAGCACTTTATAATTACAGGCAGGTGTGTTTGATATGGGTTGCAAGCAGACCCGGATTGGCTAAGAATTCCTGAGAACTCCTGGTGGGCCAGTGCGTTTTTTGGGCGCGAGGGCCGGTGTCCCTAGCTGCTTGCCCTCTCCGCAGTCACACTTTTTCATTTATTCATTTATTTGACCATAGCCTTACTCTATTTATTCATTATTTTGCCGCAGCTCCACTCTTTGCATTTATTTTCTCGCAGCCCCATGAGTAAAATGCAGCCTGCAGGTTAATGATGATGTAACTATCATTCAAACCCAAACAGCGGCATCTTAGTGAAAATAAGAATTTGAATAATTAAAAATAATGAATATTACACCTGCTCAATGAAAATCAGATGATTCACTACATTAATAAATCCGACATAACTTGATCGGAAATCTAAAAAGGGGAGAAAAAGACTAAAGCCCTTAATAAATACCGTAGTCAAGAGTCTTGCAGATAGCAGTGCAGTATTTATTTATAATTCCAAACGCACCAGCGTAACATCGCCGTTGTGGTCCAATAGTCAGCACATTGCGTAACGCCGCCGCCAACCTGAGTTCAACCACACCGTACAGCAATTAATTTTTAATTTTTTTCATTTTGCAAGTAAGACCTATGATACTGTTAATGTTGTTGAACATTTGAAATTCAAAGCAGCTGTTTTCTTGAAAAAGACGTGATAGTAAATTGGAAATGACGTTATTGTATTATAGTCAGTCGTGAACTAAGGTGGGCGGGTCTTGAAAGTCTAGGGCTGAAAAGGAGTCCCCCCCCCTGGCCCTGGTTGCTACTGAAATGTGCAGGAACAGCTTTAAGCACCGCTGCTATAGACCATTTGCAGATTGCATATATTGTACTTTTTTATGCCATTTTGCCATTTCTATCACTGTTCTATGCCGTTTTTGTACTATAAAGAGGTCATCAACACTGAAAAATCTAAAAGTAATAATAAGTGCTTTATAAATACATGGGTATGTATTTATTTAGCTGACAACTGATAAACAGAAGGATGATCACACACTTAATGGATGCCGATTTGTTGATGTAGTGTAAAGGGGAGGAGCTACTGGTGCTGAGATTTGATTATTTACTTAACGTAAGTGATTATGCTGCCCCCCTGTGGTGAATGCGGTTGTACTCGTGACAGTTACTATTTGCTGTTTAGTTTATTTTTTTACACTAATTTGGAAACTGTTAAACATGAAAGGTTTGAATATTCATTTAGCAGACAAAAATATTGTTACATTTGGGATGACACTTATCTAATACACTACATGGATTAGTGTATAAGTGCATATATAGTGTGTCATTTGGGACATAACTCATGTTTGGATGAACTCTCCCTTTACGTTCTGGCTATATTCCACCGAGTGCTGAATCTGAGTGCCGGTTGAATGTGAAGTGTATGCTTTTGTTTGTTTGTAACGTGAGAAATGGATTGATTTGCATAATCTTACTACAGCTACAATGGTATACTTTTACAGTTTAAGCGAGACTCGCTCTGGTGAAATCTGCAACGCTTGTGTCCTGCTGGTGAAACGCTGGAAGAAGCTGCCTGTCGGATCCAAGAAGAACTGGAATCACGTAAGCTCCGTCAAACTCCTTGTTTATCACACTGACGTTTTTTCAGTGGAGATTTCAGTATATGTTGCTCTTAGACTGAACGACTCTCAGGGAACAAGTGAAGTGCAGCTACAGTGGATAAAGGAGGATCAGCTGGGGAAGAAGATCACGTGTTTGTTTTGCATGTAACATAATAATTAGCTTCACAGTATTAATAATAGTAATGATAATGCACTAATAATAATAAATGTATGTTTATAATGTATTTATTACTGCATAAAATTATATAATATACAGTAAATATGTATAATATATGATCATGTTGAAAAGTAAATTAGTAGTATTATATACTGTACATAGTTTTGTTTGCAATTAAATTATATATATATATGAAAATACAAATAATTCTGAGTAATACCAAAATGTAAAGCCTAAAACAAGTCAAGTTGAGCTTTGTTGTCATTATGCTACATGTTTGGACATATGTACATCAATATGTACATTAATAAACATAATCATAAATATAAACAGCTTTTCCAATTTACCCCCCCCCCCCCCCAATTTCTTCATGACAATAACAGATGAACATGTCCTTTTACCTTATCTATACCAAAAGTATTTACAGGAAAAAGGGGATGTGGAAGCAATATTTACAATAAATAATCTTAAAGTTTAATAGCACAAGACATTAGGTTGAAGTTATATTCTGAATCCATCTGGACCAAAATTCCATACAAGTACTATTGTGCAAAAGAGGTATATAAGGTTGAAAAATAAAATAAGTAGTGCAACATGATTTTTGGTACATTCACAACTAAACATCGTTTACCTTATTTGAATATAATATAATATAATATAATATAATATAATATAATATAATATAATATAATAATATATAAATATAATATATTAATATAATATAATATAATATAATATAATATAATATAATATAATATAATATAATATAATATAATATAATATGAATGTATTTATTATTATGCTTATAACTCAAATTTAATTAAAAATACTTTTATTTATTTTGTGTTATCGATTTTTCTCAGGTGGTTGATGCTCGAGGGGGACCCAGTCTGAAAACAACAGTGAAGTCAAAGAAAGTCAAATCCCTGTCCAGACGGATCCGACCGAGCCAGATCAGCAGAGTTCAGAAAGAACTCAAGAGACACAGTGAGTCAAAAAAAACTCGTATTTCAGTTACAAATGAACCTGAAAGTGCTGTTTACATCTTGCTGTAATAACCTTTAACGTGATCCCTGTCTGTTAACAGATTCAGACGCTCACAGCACCACCTCCAGTGCAAGCCCCGCCCAGTCACCCAGCTACAGTAACCAATCGGATGAAGGCTCTGACTCTGAGTTGACTCCCGGCTCTGCCCGCTCTCCAGTCTTCTCATTTCTAGACCTCACATACTGGAAGAGGTAAGGATTTGACCTTTTATCATCATAAATATTACTTATAATTGAAAAGACGATTAAAAATTGAAGACTATAGTAGTGTGTTTTATCGGAAAATACCATTTTTTTCCACCTTAATTGACACGGGTTAATTTTCACGCTTCACTTAGTTACTTTCTGATAGAATATTTGCGAAAATGTACTTTTTTTTTTTTTTACTAGTAATGTTATGCTGACCATGAGTACTTTTTATTTTAGTTTGTATATTTGTTTGTAACTAAATTATAAAACAAAAGAATTCTGAGGCATACCAAAATGCATTGCTTTAAACAAGTGTGTAATGGGTTATTGATATATTATATTATATTATATTATATTATATTATATTATATTATATTATATTATATTATATTATTATATTTAACTTTTTGACTTTTCTAAAGTATAAAAACACCATAATATGTTTGCAGATGTTTAAGAAACATGCTAGGTGAACATTCTTGTTTACCTGGAAAGCAATGCTATATATTGCTTTGAAAATGTGTGCTAAGTGCCAGAACGTCTGTCTTTGTTTTGGTCATTTAACCTGCTTAGTAACAGTTTAGCCAATTATATTTCAGCACTCAGGGTTGCCTTGGTTGAAAACACTGTATTTCATTCATTTAGTCAGAAAGGCTCTCAAAGTGTGCATCCGCATCCAAAATGGGACCTTCGGTGGACAGCAGCAGCCTCCGAAATGAGACGCAAGAGACTGGAAACACCAAGACAGTTACCTAAACTAGAGTTTTATTTCATTTTCAAAGAGTCCCTGACCCAGCCACAGTGTATTATCAGCACTGAAGTTCAAATTAATAAGACATTTGCAGACGACAACTCCTTAATACCGCAAGGTGCACCTTATACAAATTTGCTTTTATATTTTACATTAGGCTATTATTTGTGCATAAACATATCTAGATATAGTAACAAACAAACCATCTTTTTTGACATACCTACAGCAAACTTATACAAGTGATAATATCATTAAATGTGGAGGGGGGCTTACTATAGTTTCCAGGGGAAAAGGGTGTCTCAATCTAATTAACACATATTAACCCTCTTTAACTTAACTGTAGATGCTGAATCACTGATATGTGTTGGCTTGCACTGAGTCCCAGTTTAAAAGTTGTACTTTGTTTATAAATGCACTTTGTTTTCAAGATCCGAGGTGAACTGCTGCTGCTTTCAGTAGTATGGCAATACATGTCATGCAAAATGGCATTTAAACTCACATGATTAGCATTTAACACTGAATAAAGTACGAGGTGTACCTGAGCTGATCATTGTCATAGTTGTCTGTTGTTCAGCTGCAAGAAATAGATGCCGTTTCTAATATTTAGTTTCGTGTCTAAATTTCAGGTGTTGGTTATGACAGAAAATATTATATTGAAAATATTCCTTCTATCACTTGTCTTTGCTTTTATTTAGAAAACGGTTTAAATCAGCCTATAGGCTCGATAGTCAGGCACACTGCTGTCGGTGTCATCAATCTGGCAACCTGCACTTGCATGTGTTTTGAACCAGGTGTGCAATACCTAGATCAACCACTGGGTGTCAAACTTACATTTTCATTCATTCATTTTACATTCAGCTTAGTCTCTTTATTTATCTGCAGTCGTCACAGCGGAATGAACCACCAACTTGTATAGCATATGCTTTACGCAGCAGATGCCCTTGCAGCTGCAACCCATCTCTAGGAATCATCTATACACACTCATTCACGCTCATACACTATGGACAATTTAGCCTACCCAATTCACCTGTACCGCACCTGTGTCTTTGGACGGAGGGGGAAACTGGAGCACCCATAGGAAACCCACGCAAATGCAGGGAGAACATGCAAACTCCACACAGAAATGCCAACTGTCCCAGCCGAGGCTCAAACCAGTGACCTTCTTGTTGTGAGGCGACAGCACTACCTACTGCGCAACTGCGTCGCCTATTTTACGTACTGCAACTTTAATATGCTTAAAATACTCTTTTATATAACCTAATAAGTCTAAAGTATGAAGTGACTGTAAAGACATCTAAATTGCCACACAAGAGTTTTAATTAAAATAAATGCGTTCACATTTTGAATTTTTACTATTCTAAAAGACCCAAAACCTCTAATAATAGTGTCATATTTTACAATGCCATTGATCATAATTAATACTTGCAATTGAAATGATCTGTCCAGGCAGCGGGTGTGTTGCGGCATCATCTACAAAGGTCGTTTCGGGGAGGTTCTGATCGACCCGCATCTCTACAAACCCTGCTGCCAGAAAAAACAAGAGCAGGAGCAAGAGGAAGAAGAAGAAGAGGAGGAGGAGGACGAGGATGATGGAGAACTGGAGAAAGAGGAAGTGCCGAGCAGTCAGGAAATCCAGCCGCCACAAATCAAAATAGAGCAGGAAGTGGACGAGGAGTGGTGATGCCGCCTTGTTAGGGTACTGACTTGGCATTCTTAGGAAGCCTTGGAGAGTCCGACACTCTCAAAGACGTTCTCTCAGATTGCCTTTCAATTCAAGAGCAGCTGGATCTTTTTCTCTCCGTCTTTTCCTCTTTCTTTCTTTTTTATTTCCAGCCTTTATTTATTAAACTGAACTGGCTTCGTTGTTTTCCGGAGTCTGGTACCATGTTATTCCAGTTCAGATTGAGTTCTTCTGTAGACATGAGGAATTTGTTTGTTTGTTTTGCGATCCCACTCAAACACAGAATGCTGGATTTACGTACATCTTGCATAGAAATGTGGAGAATAGACTTGGACAGTGAACACAATCCTACACTGTCACTTTTGTAGCGGCGAGCACCACTGTGCACTTCTTCTAGGCACTTCCTCTGCAGCATTTAGCTGATGTTCCACCATTTCTGCTGGGATGTATAGCCAATATTTAGGGAATCTTTTTTTTCTTTTTCTGTGTGTATGTGAGACGAGGTTATGTTTAAAGGGACAGGTCACCTTAAAATTGTTTATTGCAAACACTTTTTGAAAAAAAACAAAGTGATTATTGTCAAAATTATGTTGTAAACCAGAAACAGAATGATGTAGAGGAGATTAAATAATAATTTTGAGGTGAACTGTCACTTTAATTCCTAATTTTGGCTCAGTCTGCCTGTATTCAGCAACAAACTCAACTCCTCTCCTAGTGTTTTACTACAAATGTTTCTCCAGACAGCGTTTCTCTATGGAGTCAGATCAGTCTCAGGAATAATGCATTTACCAAATAAAATTCATACACGCACAGCACAATTCATAAATAACAATAACAATTCATGAATGCACAAATCCAAATGATAATTTCAATAATGCAAACATTTAAGAAGAATATTTGTTATACATAAATGTATAAACGTAGGTGAGATGCATTTGAAATATATTAGATTTTTACTTGTGAATTTATGAAATGGATTTGCGCATTTATGAATTGTGTTCTGGATTAATGAATTGGATTTGCAAGTTAATAAATTGTGTTTTAAATTTACGAATTGGATTTGCGCATTTATGAATTGTGTTTTGGATTTACGAATTGGATTTGTGGGTTAATAAATTGTGTTTTAAATTTACAAATTGGATTTGTGCATTTATGAATTGTGTTTCGGATTTCCGAATTGGATTTGCGCGTTAATAAATTGTGTTTTGGATTTACGAATTGGATTTGCGCGTTGATATATTGTGTTTTAAATTTACAAATTGGATTTGCGCATTTATGAATTATGTTTTGGATTTACGAATTGGATTTGCGCATTTATAAATTTGTGTTTTGGATTTACGAACTGAATTTGCTCATTTATGAATTGTATTTTAAATTTACGAATTGAATTTGCGCATTTATGAATTGTGTTTTAAATTTACGAATTGAATTTGCGCATTTATGAATTGTATTTTAAATTTACGAATTGAATTTGCGCATTTATGAATTGTGTTTTAAATTTACGAATTGAATTTGCGCATTTATAAATTGTGTTTTAAATTTACGAAATGAATTTGCTCATTTATGAATTGTATTTTAAATTTACGAATTGAATTTGCGCATTTATGAATTGTGTTTTAAATTTACGAATTGAATTTGCACATTTATGAATTGTGTTTTGGATTTACGAATTGGATTTGCGCATTTATAAATTGTGTTTTAAATTTACGAATTGAATTTGCACATTTATGAATTGTGTTTTGGATTTACGAATTGGATTTGCGCATTTATAAATTGTGTTTTAAATTTACGAATTGAATTTGCACATTTATGAATTGTGTTTTGGATTTACGAATTGGATTTGCTCATTTATAAATTGTGTTTTAAATTTACGAATTGGATTTGCTCATTTATAAATTGTGTTTTAAATTTGCGCATTTATGAATTGTCTTTTGGATTTCCTAATTGGATTTGCGCATTAATGAATTGTGTTTTAAATTTACGAATTAGATTTGCGCATTTATGAATTGTGTTTTGAATTTATGAATTAGATTTGCACATTTATTAACGAATAGTTTTTTTTTTTTATGTGAATTGTGTTGTGCGCGTGTTAATTTTATTTCCGTAAATGTATTATTATTGAGACTGATCTGGGTCCATATTTCTCTGGTGCTGAGGCAGACTGGGCACGGCCAACCAAAAATAATGCCTGGTTATCAACACTCTTGTATTCAGTGTATTAATGTAAATATCCAAAAAGTGTAGATTTGAGGTATTTGGAAGAGATCAGCGTCGAGCATGAAGGAAACTATTGTCTTGATGAAAATCTGCATGACATTTGCATGGAAGATTTTATTTCTTTATGCAACCATGTTGCAGCGATAACAATTTGGGCACATTTTGAGACGGTCCCAATATATTTTTGTAGATAATTCAAGAAAAGAACAAAAATGAAAATTGGCTGCTGTTTAATGAATACAGGGGTTTAATTCTTATTAAGAATTGGATATTTTCAATATTGTCTCATTGAAAGCCAAAAAGCCCAATGATTTTTTGCTATTCCTCTTATATACTTGTTCATATACCTCTATCTCTTCCTCCTTGCCTTTTGTAAATACAGTATTCTTGTAATGACTTCTTTTTTAGTGTCATGAAAGATTTGAGCACATGTTCTTATTTAATTTAATTTTATTTCTCCTTTTTTTTCCAGGGAAAACTTTTTCAGATACCGAAAAGCTGAACCAATGTACATTTTCATTATAAGCTTTCATATATAAGGAGTATTCATGCGTTTTCCCCTATATGGTCTGTCCTGCCTTTATAATTGTATTGTTTATGATAGCCTTGGCTGTCTTGGATTGTAAAAAAAAATGTTGAAGCACACATACTTCTGTTTGATTCCAGGGGGTGGCGCTAGAGAGCTTCGTTTAAAAAAATAACACTCGATTGCACATTAATTTGAATTCTGTCTTATTTAATATCTGCTCAGTTTTGAAATGGGTATTTTGATGGTGGCAGCTTGTGGTTTAAGTGTGAATATGCCAGATCACAGAATGACATGAATGAAATTTGTGGAGACATCTGTTCAGGTGAAGCAGCTACACGGGGAAATGGTGTCATCTCTATGACGGCGTTATTTGTAAATATAAGATATGTAAGACTGAACAATGGCTATTTTGAATACTCTTTTTGTCTTATTTATTTCATATTTATTTGTCTTGTGGTCTTTTTTTCTTTTTAAAACTCATCAGAGTTTGTCGTACAGGGCTGACTTGTCCTTACAACACTGCAATACGGACGGACTGAAATGCTTTCACACCGACGGTATGCCGAAATTCACTAAATATTATGGAGAACTTCAGGACTGGACAGCTGTTAAACACGTTTGTGTGTGTGCGCGCGCGTGTGTGTGTGTGTGTTTGCTAAGTATAGCTATTTTATTTGACTATTTTTATACTTTTGTTTGAGGGTTTCTATTGCCCGAATCCCTTTGCTTAGACTAGTCCTTTAGTTGTAGTGCTACAGGCATGTATCGTAGCTATGCACTTTGTATTCACATTACTAGAGATATATGAAGCAGGTTTTGTATTTTTTTACATATTGTACTTTTTACTTGTTCCTCAATAAATGTAACTTGTGATGATTGCACTTGTTATGAGCATATATTTGTAACTTACACAGTATTTAACTTTAATATTAACTGTATTTTACTGTACACTCTAAAAACAAATGCTGGGTTCCACACATTTCATGTTGTTTCAACACAAATCGATTAAGTTTTTACAATTTTAAATGGATTGAACTTAAAATAATGAAGTTGTCCCATTAACAACTTAAGAGTTGTGTTGTTTCAACTCAATTTTTATGTCATTTTCAGTTATGCAGTATGTTACTGTGTTTTAAAGTTGCATAGTGAAAATTACTGTATATTTTACAGTAAAGATATACATTCAACTCTGTAAATACTTATACTGCAAGATAAATGGTGTTGTAAATACTTATTTACAGTAAGTTACTTGCAAACTGCTGCCAGTAGGTTTCTCTAGATTCTACTGGATTGCTAAAAGTGTGCTGTCAAACAAATGCATTGCATTTAATATAAACGTTTTAGCATTTAAGCACTTCTTGAGATTTAAACCTCTGTCGCCTTTTAGCCTTCTTAGTTCACTTATACCATGTAAATAACAATAACGCTTAAATTAAAGCTTATTAAAGCTTGGATAAAGCAATAGAGTTCAGTTCCTGGGATGTGAACCCCATGTCATTCACATAAAACCAAAGTGGAATTAAGTTCATTAATAACATTAAACAACCAAGATCGGTTAACAGTCAAGGGTTGGTGCTATTGTGGCTGAATGGAGCATGGAGCTTGCAACACAAATTTTTCAGTTATACAGGTATGTGCCAAAAATTAGAATATCAAGAGAAAGTCCATTTATTTCAATAATTTATTTCAAAAAGTAAAACGTGTGTGTTATTTTAGTTCACTACACACAAAGTGAAATACTTCAAGTCTTCATTTTTCAGTTTTAATGCTTATAGATTAAAAATAAAAAACCTCAAATCCAGTATTTTAAAAAAAATGAATATTTCATGTGACCAATAAAAAAAAGAAACTAAAAGTGTGTTAATGTACTGCATTATGTCCTTCAGTACTTTGTTGGGCCTCCCTTTGCACTAATTACAGCAACAAGGCGGTGTGGCATGTAGGCGATCAGGCTTTGACACAGTTGAGGGGTTTACAAGTTGCTTCGATATCACCTTCAGCTAGTCTGTATTTTGGGGTCTATGTTGTCTCATCTTCCTCTTGACAATAGCTCATAGATTTTCAATGGGATTTAACGGGGTGTTTTCAGTCAATTAAGAGCAGGGATACCATGGTCCTTAAACCAGGTACTGGTAGCTTTGGCACTGTGTGCAGGTGCCAAGTTCTGCTGGAAAATAAAATCCTCTCCAAAAAGCTTGTTGGCAGCAGAATCATGAAGTGCTCTAAAACGTCCTGGTGTAGAATTGCGTCGACTGTAGACTTGATAAAAGACAATGGACCCATATTAGCATACTGTCTGACATGGCTCTCCAAACCATCACTGACTGTGGAACCTTCACACTGGACATTAAGCAGATTGACTTTTGTGTTTCTC